AAAATTAATGTGACCTTGACCTGACCTTCGCTACGCAACCCAAGGTCAAACTGATGTGATCAGTAAATACATCTTTTTAAACGCCACAACTTTTGTCTGAAACATTTTTTTGTAAAACTTATATTTTTCCTGATATTCGGGCGTCCCGGTACTTTCCGAACACCCTGTATACAACGTAAACGTATCTTTCAGTGGCCTTCTCTAAACACTCCTTGTTTCAGAAACCATCGATGACGCTGGAAAGCACGAGGAATTGTAAATTTCGTACATTACATTTACGTACAATGACCTGCGGTTTCCTTAAACCCTGTGGTCACTAAGAGTTTTATAAGATTCTGTAAAAAGAAATTTGTGTTCGCGATAGTAATAGTAATTGAGCGTCGACGCGTCATGGCGCTTTGCGTACATACCGTTATCGGTATTTCACTTTTCTAATTGACGCCTGCCACCAGTTTACGTGTAAATACTTGTCGCCATCGGTGCTCATGTAAAATTCTCCCGAAAATAATGATGTATTGGAAGCCGAAGATTCTCCTTATCTATTCTCACTAGATCCACTTCTCATACCTACTATAAATCATAATTTATAAGAGATTTCACCTTTTTTCTATAATTTGGCAATTTTATAGCGAACAAGAGACTATCTTAAATCAGGTCAAAGCGAGAAGTCTGAATGAAATTCGTTTCTCGATGATCGCTGAGACAGCAGTATTCTGGTTATTCATGAACAACCTGTTCATGTTGCTAAACCGATTGTGATTTATTATTGTCTATTATATACGATAGTTATTAAGAAATAAACTTGTAAACAATTTTTTTAAGATATCTTCGGCATTCCCTTTTAGACTGTAGTGTCACCGACAGTAGAGACAACAAAGAAGGATGTAGTTACATTCGAAACCGACACGGCTAGTCTTTCTATAGATAAACGTACATATACACTATGTCACAGTACAAATACATTTATTCATACCACATAGAACCAACGACGCACAGCATGGGATATCTAATCTCATTGTTAGTGCCGAGTTTTTGTAACATCGTACACTTCGCTCGCCTCGGATCATTAGACGCGGTAATACCGGCCATATCTTTTATGAGAATTTATATCGTCACGGCGACCAGGTGAATTAGAGCGGAACGAGCGAAGAAATTCGACAGCCATTCTCGCGGTAATCGGGCAATCCTCCGATTTCGGTCCCGACGGAATCAATCGAGCGATTACCCGATCGCAATGATATTTATCGCTGTTTACACCAGACCTTTACCTTTTTAATCTCTCGATAGAAACAATCAAAGTAATCCGCCGCGGCGGGAAAGCGTCTCGTAGTCCGCTCGGTTTCCTGCCTCGGTGATTTGACGGAGAAGCTTCGGTGAAATCTGCGACAACTAGAATTGAGCAGATCCTCGATTTCTGCTCGGACAGCTCGAACGTTCGACTCGTGCTCCTGCGTGAGATCAGGAATTGCATTTATCAACGACTCTTCAGAGAGAGTAACCGATATCAGACAGAATGCTCGGGTTGTCATCTCGCCGCGCATGGCTGTCGATTCTCTCGCGCTCGCAATATTTGCTTTCCCAATGTAAACACATTGAGAAAGCCCAGTCGCGCGTTCTCGTACTCACTAATGACATCTCACGACGCTTCGTAACCCCGCGCGCGCTGCCGCAGATTCGACTTGCCTGGTCGCGCGGGCCGGCTTCTATCAATTGTTCGATGTTCGCGCACCCGCGTCGTTCGCGCTCCTCCTAGGCGGCAGTTCGCCCGGAAATACACATGAGCATGGACAACCACGTCGCCGTGGAAAGTGTCACACGAGACGAGAACGGCAGCACGTAAGTCTGGCCCACGCTATTTTGGCGTTCTCGTGATAGAGAGTATAGTGTAGTTTTGTTTACGAATTTCTTACTCGAATTAGAATCTACGTACGACGGGTGCTGCTACTTGTAGCTACGTCCGTTGAGTTCGTCTCCAACAGTCACACGGCAATGGATGTATTCGGGGAGCAAGCTGTCGCATCGCTTACGCAAACTTTGCGAACTCTGTTCGTGTAATAAGGCGAATCCAAGCTGTACGAACAACGTTGGTTAGCAACCCAAACAACAAACAGAAGAAATTACTGAAAACATTATTATTTTGCTTGGAGTTTTGCAAAATTATACATTATGGTAAAGTCAACAGCATCTTTTAAACAGCGCACAATTGCCACAGAATTGCCACTGAGAGCGTTTAAAGACCTCGCTAACGTTGAGATTCAGTAGTGTTTGCGCTAAATATCGTTAATAGCAACAGTTACTCCCCGAACGCACCCAATGTGTGTTCTTCCAATTTTTCAATGTACCTCGCAACGCGCGAAATAATCGAGATCTGCATGTTTTAACAGTGCGAATTGAAATTTAAAGAAATATGTCGACGCGTGATTTCAAGTACGTGTCGGTACGTTGAGAGTGGGAAGATATCTGGGAAAGATACAATATCTGAGCTGATTTCCGATTTGAAATAACTCAGCTCTGCTCGCAAAATATATTTCTGAAATTTCTACAGCACAATTAGAATGTACATTTTCCGCTTGTTCGATTCTTTCTTATTTTTTTTTCCGAACTAATGTGTATTATTGTTCATAGCTATATATTATAGCCATAATTTGAAACCCCATTATGTAAGCAACTTATCGAGTATCGATCAAACACTTCAGAGGGAGAGTATGGTAAAGATAAGATACAATTTCTACAGTGGGCGTCTTTGTCAAAAATTTGCTAATGCATGCAATATATTCACTGAGAAAAATATACTTGAAAATTTATTTGTGAGATATGAAGTTCATATTCATAGAGATAAACTTCTTATCACAGAAATAAATTTTATATCACAGAAGTAAACTTTATTTCACAGAGAGAGATAAACTTTATGTGAAATAAAGTTTTCAAGTATGTTTTCTCAGTGTAAACATCAATTGGATGGACGAGCGCTGGTTTTCAATGACAACGCGACTTATTTCGAGATCACGCTTTGATAGCACGGGGAAGTGAAAAAGGTGCAAAAATTCTGAATTGCGCGCTTAGTTGTTCGCACCAGGGACATTGATGGTGATTTTTACAAGCTATAAGCGTGCTATTGCGAGTTCCAAGATAGCATTAGCATGATTACTTTTCGATTAACGGACGGAGGTCACTCGTTGATCGTTACGATACTAGTTCTCTTTTTTCTCTCCAATAATGACCCGACACTTGGTCGTTTTTCGGAGCACAAATTACGTATCTGCGTACACGCAAAAAATTCGCTCCAATTGTATTACACGAGACCCTACCCTCCGTTCTGCGACAAAAGGTCGCAAAAAAGTAACAAAACTTGGCTGCGACAGAAAGAGCCGGTAGTCCTCGCTTTAACACCAGGATGTCGACCACTGCGAGAACGGACCTCGGGGTCATCATTGACGAGTAAATATCTGATCGATTCAGTCTCTTTTACATATTACACGCATTCAAATTTTCCTGCGCTCACGTCGATTCGATTTACTTGCGTCATTAGTTCTGCGAGAGAGCGATTCTATTTTGATTAACTTGCTGATTTTATTTATTAACGTTGCACCCCATAGATTGGTGTCTTCGCGGCTTATCGAGTAGCAAAGCGATTACTTTGCCCAGACTGCACAGATTACTAAAAGATGTCTTCGAAACGTCTAAAAGGAAAAGAACGTCTACCAGACGTCTCTAAGACATCTTCTAATAAATCGTACTGTCTGCTGTGCAAATCACAATCACAATCTTGCTTCTCCAAAGCACGGTGAGATAACAATACAAATTGCTCACGGTATAATGACAAAGAAAGACCGTGACGGTCTTTTGCGAATTGCGTTACGAATACAACGCGAGCAGCGAGCCCGAATTTCTACGGCGTACTTCCGCATTGCACTTGTGTTGATTTTCGCGGCAACATCGTGTTTAAGCAATCGATAACAAGAGACCCAGTTTGTTAGAGATAATTTATAAGTGTCTCATGAGTTTAGCTTCACTCGCTTAGCTTCACTCGTGCATTGATTTTTCCGGCACTTCGTGCCCGCGTGTGCGTGCATGCGTGCGCGACGATCGGCCCGTCGGCTACCTGAAGAGTATCCATTACGACTAACGAGTTGTAACGTTTCTCATATTCGCGTCGTGTGTTTAACGTTAAGCACGGTTATTTGATCCATACATTACTTTCGCATTAAACAACGATGACGCGTCTGAACCCTCGTTTTGCGTCAAACTTAAAATTACACGGATGTCTCTGACGCGTCAACTTATTTTAACGTGCCGATCTCGATAATATTTATCGCATTATCGTTCATTCTCATCGATTGCCGAGAGACCGCGCGCAAAAGTTGCGCCGAGATCCGATTTGTCGATTCCATTTCGCGCGGTCTTCTCAGCTGCACCGATAATGTCGTATCATACAGCTATTGCACACGACACAACGCATACAGCGCGAAAGAAACAAATCCACATAGAAGGCATTTTCATTAATCAAGAGCGCATGCATATGTACGGGCGCCCACGCTTGTTTGCACGCACGCAAATTTCCCGTTTATTCCTTATCCGTGTAGTTTTACATCTTTATCGGAAATGTTTATTCCAATATCGTCGCGAAGCTTGTTGGAATACAAAATAAAAGTATCAATCCCCGAGCACACATCTGATCTTGGACATTCTCATTGCTTCGGCCTTTAAATATGAATATTTAAATTTTTAATGTATGTATATATATATTCAGTATATGTACGTATATTTTATGTTTAAATATCTAACGAATACATTTAAAAGGTAAAACAATGTCCAGGATTAGTTACGATAACTTGTGCCTTATTTGAACGACGAGACTTTTTCGTTTTTTTTTATTTTTTTTTTCTTTGTTACTGATATGTACATATATAGTAACGAGAAATTTTTACTGCTATATATACTCTTTACATTTGTTGGAATGAAATTTCACAAGTGAAAAGTGGCAGTATTTTCACTCAAAGCGATAATAAAAATATTGCCACTCGAAATCGCGGAAATGTTTAAATATCTAACGAATACATTTAAAAGGTAAAACAATGTCCAGGATTAGTTACGATAACTTGTGCCTTATTTGAACGACGAGACTTTTTCGTTTTTTTTTTCTTTGTTACTGATATGTACATATATAGTAACGAGAAATTTTTACTGCTATATATACTCTTTACATTTGTTGGAATGAAATTTCACAAGTGAAAAGTGGCAGTATTTTCACTCAAAGCGATAATAAAAATATTGCCACTCGAAATCGCGGAAATGTTTAAATATCTAACGAATACATTTAAAAGGTAAAACAATGTCCAGGATTAGTTACGATAACTTGTGCCTTATTTGAACGACGAGACTTTTTCGTTTTTTTTTATTTTTTTTTTCTTTGTTACTGATATGTACATATATAGTAACGAGAAATTTTTACTGCTATATATACTCTTTACATTTGTTGGAATGAAATTTCACAAGTGAAAAGTGGCAGTATTTTCACTCAAAGCGATAATAAAAATATTGCCAGTCGAAATCGCGGAAATGTTTCACTTCAGTTTAGAGTGCATTCTGACTCTCATACCGGTGAATTTTGCAATCGAGAGAATACGTTCCTATAACGACGAATTAGAGAGAATACGTTCCTATGACGACGAATTAGAGAGAATACGTTCCTATGACGACAGAGTACGTCGGAATTACCCTTCAATTTCGATTCGGTGTGGAGGATTTGCTCTGTGCGAACGAAAAATCAATGAATTCGAATAACTCGGTGGCCGTTCCACTTTATGAGCGAAATTTCATTCCAAGAAATTTCGAGAGTTTGCGAACGCAGTTGTCTCTAGTAAGTCCGAAGCGTCGCACGGCGCGTAGAACTGCGGATAGAATCTCGTCGCGAGATTCGCCATACGTTCAAATTTGCCTCTGGAAAAATCGATGGCAGTTCGATCGATTCGATAGCTATCGAAATTTAACATCAGTCCGCGCGCTGGAGGTTCCCCATTGTGAGATCCCCTTCTTCGGCACGCGCTCGGCGATTTCTATATCGTCGTCGGGTTCATGCACTGCTCCTTGTATCACGTGCGTCCGTGCCTCTCTACGTGAAAGTCACGCGAATGTGCTACGCCTCTCGCTTGACGTTAGCTGTTCGTTCAGTCACGAGTCGCGACTGCAATCGGCGGCTGGTGGATTTTCGCCCGGTGATCTCTCTCTTTGCGTGAGGTCCAGGATGAAATTTCGAAGCTGAAGATCCGTGACGTGTCTGGGAAGCATCAGTGCGAGTGTTCGTAGAGGAGCACGTCGTCGTCGTCCGAGCAATCTCGGCTGGTTTCGTTCTCGCGAGAGAACGCGGAGGTGCAATACGCGCGAAAGCACCGATCGATCGATCGTTGATCTTGCGTGAGATCGAATGTTTCGCGGGGATCTCGAACGGCGTTCCAAATGTGTCTTTCTGCGGAGACTTTCGAGTGATAAGGACGAGTATCGAAGGCCGCGCTATACGATTATTGCTGAAGACGTCGGTGCGAGGGAGAGTAAGAGAGAGAGAGATTTGGAGAGATATAAGCGACTGTGCGCCCGTCGATGAATACGCAGTATAATTCGCGCGATAGTTAAATCCGCTTCGGATCAGCGGGTCCGATTTGTGAAAGCGCTCGTTGATATTCAAATGCTGAACACACACAGTCACTGAACACCGGCCCCGAAGTGTACCGCGAAAGATATACAGTGCGTTTCACTTCGAGTTCGCGGCGATGTGCTGAAGATTCTCGAGAACTTGGCGGAGACGACCTCCATCGAAAACGCGACTTACTCGACCAGAATTCACGGGATGCTTTGAAGCACTTTACATACACAATGGAGTCATCAAAGCCTGTGTATAAAATAACGTTTCGAAACATGTGAAGTGTCAAACGGACTCCGTGTAACACTCTCGCAACCTAGACCGCTTTCTTCTTGACAATTTCTCCCTCTCTTTCTCTCTCTCTTTCTCTCTCTGTTTTTGCCCCAAATAAGTCGAAAGATATCCGGTACACTTCGAATTCCGAGTGTAAGAGTATTAAGACTTGAATTGAACGAGACGTGGCAGTGTCTTCTGATATCTTCTCCGAGCGGAGATACAGAAAGGAACGGGGAGAGTGGATAGAAAGGGAGCGAGGACGACGCTCAGCTGGTGGGGGCTCGTGTGATAAGGACAGAGCAATCAAGAGGAAAGGCAGAGAAACGAGAAAGAAGAAGAAGAGGAAGCGGCGGAAGAGGAGAAGCAAGAGGAGAGAGCGAGAGTGAGAGGCTGTTGATCGAGCGTTAATCTATTTATCTGTTGAGCGATTGTGCCAAACCAGGAGAGCATGGCTCTTCTTCCGTCGAGAGACGGACGGACATGCCGTAACGTGGCTAACAGTAACAACAGCTTTTGATTGTTGACTCGAGAAGCGACGTGTGCAGTTCGTCTGAATCTCTCCGGTCGTCCGGGGGAAGACAGCGCGACGTTACGACTTCCCAGATTACAACTGCACACAGTGCACCACCTCCTCTACCTTCTCTCTCTCTTTCTCTTTTTCCTCTCTCTCTTTTTCTTTCTCTCTCTATCTGTCTGCCTGTCTTTCTCTGCACTCTCACCTCACCAGAGGTTGCATGTTCGCTGCCTCTTTAGTCTTCCTTTTTATCGGCACTTGGCATTCGCGAGCGATTCGACAAACAGAGAAAAGATCATCGGTCTAGACAGAGAGAGAAAGAAAGAAATCGACGGCGTCGCGATCGACGGTCAATAGACTGGGCGCGTCTTGCCATTAGAAGACCATGGAAGACGAGAAGATCAAACTGTGAGTTCTCTTGAATCATTATCATCATCATTATCATTGTTATCGTCATTGTTATCCTTGCGATGCAAGAGAAACGACGCACTCCGGAAAAGCAAGGGATCGCGTGCCGTGCGAGATCAAAATCTCGCGAAATCGCAGAGATCCGGGCAGAGAGGAGAGCGAGTTAATTAGTCCCAGAGTGTTTTGATTAGTTATTTCCCTCTGTTTTATTTATTTGTGATTTGACGTGTGGTGCAGAACGAGAACGATAGTGGGCGAATTTTCGCGATCGATAGGAAGGAAACAACGACGGTGTTGCGTGTTAAAGTCGGCGTGCAAAATCGGCGTGTAAAATTAGCGTGTAAACTGGTGATTGGTGAGCCGGTGAGAAATCGGTTGCGGAGTTTCCTTCTCGGATCTCACGCGCTTCCCGAAGCAACTTATACGGAGTACGTGCTGTATCTTGTAACGCGACTGTTCTCTCTTGTTTTTTGTGAATTATATCGGCGAGAATCTTAAAAAGTGCTCGCTGGCTAATGGAATTCACGGGAGAGAGCGACAACTCGCAAGGAAAGTTTGAAAAATTACGTCCGCGGACTATCGCGAATCGTGAATCACTGAAGTTTCCTGATAATCCAGTAAAAAAAGGATGTCAGATTGACATCTTGAAATATCGATTATGAACATGTTTCTCTCTTCGCTAATATTTGAAAATATTCCAAGGATATTGCTTGATGATACGATTTCTTTGAATACCACGAAAATAGTTTAGAGATATTAAAGTGTCGAAATTATTCTTACACTAAGAGAAAAATAAACTTGAAAATTGATTTGCGGGATATAAAGTTTATTCACAGAAGTAAGCTTTACATCCTATAAATAAGCTCAAATATTTTTTTCCCAGTGTACAACATTAAAAACTACATGTTAAAAAACATGTTATACATCATTAGATATCGTTGCAATAAGATTTTTGCTCTCACTGGAAACATTTTATACAAGATGATTTATAGTCGCGAGAACACTTCGTGGGTAGTCAAAAAATCCCCTTGTCCAAAATCGGAGATGCGAGCCTTCTATAAGAATACCCTGTCTGAATCGAATTTTAGGCTGCCATTTTTTTGCACAATGTTTCGCGAGACGGGCGAGATTTTCGTTGCATCGCGATCTGGAATTCCATACACGGTATAAAGACGAAGATACCGCTATCGCAGATCGTCCAATTCCTCTCACCGTGTTTGCGCGACGTAAAAAAATCGCAACATGTGAACAGCTCGAAGTCGTCGGCGAAGAGAGAATCGCTTGACCACCTGTTGACGCTCCACGCGTACACGCGTGGGCCACCCGTGCGCGAGGAAGCTCCTCCGTAGATTTCTCTTTCCCTCAGGAGCGATGTCAACGATTTGGTTCACTGATTGCCAAAATTATCGTACGGATAATTATCGTACGCGCGACCACAGCCATGGCCTCGCGAACAACAAGGCCGCGACTCCCTTCACTTTGCCACGCGACAGTATCTCCAACGCGCCGTGGTTGTACGCGAGGACGGGCGCGACCGGTCTCGGGAACGACAGAAAAACTTGCAGTTCTTTCCACGAAACCTGTCCGCCGTGTGCACTGATCATGACAAGTGCGTATTGCGTTAGGAGAGGAAATCAAAAGTGGACCAGATTTCTCCGGTATCGTTCACCGATCTAAATCCGCGACATGCGCGAATTCTCCTTGGACAAGCATTGTCCCGAAAAATCGTGGTACGGAATGCCGAGACAATATGTCAAAATACAATTTTTCTGAGGAAAGATTATTACCCTGAAAAAGTACACACATAAAAGTTAAGTGTACTAATATATCTACCTACTTAGGTACACTCATATTTTACTCGAACGAGTAAATACTCATGGATTCGGCTATGTAACGAGGAAATTCTAATATTTCAGTAAAATTGCACCTCAGTATTAATACACAAGAAATGGTGCTTTTTTTAAATTTTGGGATTATGTACGTTCATCAAATTTTCCACACAAAATCTCATCTTACACAGAGAGAAAATATCGGAATTTTTTGTCATATAAATTCTTTTCAATTTTACTATATTTCTTTAATAGCGCAGGAAAGATTGTCAGTAAAATTTATCTTGCTAAGGAACATAGTAAATTTTCCTAGAAAATTAGCAAAATTCTTAACAGCACATTTCAGTTCTTAAAATTGAAATAGAAGGATAATCAATTATTTGGATGTCGATCTATTCCTCGATTACAAAATTTTATGGTAATTTTTACTGTAAAAATGTCTCCGTGTAGAAAATCACGTATTTAAGAAAATATGCCCCAAAGCGAAGGAATCCTTCTCCTCAAGTGTTTCAGAGAAATATTGTTCGTAATTGAATGGAGATCGAATTCCGACTGATGTATTTCCGTTTGTCGCTCTGTCGATTTCTTCATTCTACTCGCCAGTTTTCCCCACGTTATTTACGATAAATATCGTCGAACTTTGATAAAACCATATCAACGTTACTCATATCTTCACGTAAGTTGTGGTTACGAGGAATTATCCACGTATATGATAACAGGATCGCAACAAAGTTATTCCCATTGTTTTTCTTTACCCAGCGCGGAGTGTGTTTCCCACACATGTATATTCAATCAGAAATGCCGGAACATATAACGGGATCGGTCTCGAGCGACCTGAAAAAATAGCCCGGTCCTTGCCTTCAAAATGTAGCCTTGAAACACTTTCTAATACAAATGTCCCTTTTCGGCTTCGCATTCATATGAGCAGTCGACATAGAACGAAAATAGACGTTTGAAACCATGTACGCGCCAAGCATGAGAACGTGAAAGAACAGAGAAGCAGTTCTTTAAAACAGAAACAATTTTGTACACGGTAGCGCAATTACGTCCCCCTCTTCGTAAGCGGGAAAGTCATAAAAAATTGTAAACATAGGAAAAATTTACCCAGCCAACTTTTCAAACGTTAAAAACATGTGTTTTTTTAAAACATGTGTTTTGTTTACTCATGATAATTTTTTTCAATAAAAAAAACTTCACTGAATTGCAAAGACCTTAATAGATTCATATTTCTCAATATTTTCTACACGATTGCAAGAAAATAATTAAATTCCGATCTTTGCGGAAGTTATGAGCTAATGAGAAAATTTTTTTCGTGTTTAGAGTTCTAGAGGTAGTGATTCATGAACGATCATTGAACAAAGTGCGTGTCAACCACCCGGTGTTGCATAACATCGATTTGGTAGATCGACTATGTGAATTATTTTGTGCATTCACTCACGAGTGTCAAGCGCGACATTCGTAAAGCGGGGTATATTTTTATAGATGGCATAACGATTACGTTTTATCGCGGGGGAGAAGAGACGCACATGCGATCAAGCGATCCTGAAGCCACAGGCGTCACAGATCGACACAGAGTGACACACTCGTGCCTCCCGAAGTGATCACTAAAATAACACGTGGAGATTTAATCTGAATATGTCCGAATAGATATTGTATGATGATAACGCTCCAGACGGGGATTGACATTTCGTCGTTTCTACATTTTTCTAAGTCCCACCTTCCTACAAGGCGAGGCGCAAATAACGATAATCTCGATAGTCGATAATCTCTTGAGCAATTTTTATCGGAAATACGTGTGCAGATAAAAACAACTTGTATCGAGATTATTTTCTTGGATTCTCCGAGCTCCACGGCGATTGGAGGAAATAGAAAATCTTGGATAGTTCCTCATTAATAAATTATCACTCTTAATGAGTCACCTCTGAGATCTCGTGACTCGAGATTTTCCGGCACGTTTTTCCGGGAGGAGATACTTTATCCATGAGTGCGACATTCTGTCGACGAAGCGAGACTGATATTCTCGTATTATCGTGGTATAATTAATACGAAACCGACGTGGTGTCAGGTAACGTTATATGCATGATGACGACGAGCCGACCGTCGTCGATTTAATCCACCAGTGCACCTGGATCATTCGGGAAGCAGCGTTGCTAACTCGTTTAACCGGTCCGCGAGATATTTTCGGGAACAAGTTTACGATTAATATAATTAAACAAGATAATTAAACAAGCCGCCGCATAAACATTTCATCTCTATAATTATTTCACAGAATAATTACGACTTAGAGAAGTCGGTCAATTTCGTATAAAAGAGTCGAGCTCGCCCACTTAAATTTAAAAACAAAATTCTTTTATTTTTTAATTGAACTTTTGAAGGATGTAGTTATTAATGGGCGAATTAATGGATGAATTCTCAGTTCCGACACTTCCAACCGCACATTTGTGGAAGTTCCATCACTCGACACGCTCGCTGAGCTTCAAAGTCGACGACGCGTGTCGCATCGATTTGGAGAATGATTTTATTTCAAAAAGGATGAACGGTACATCGACAATCGGTCTCCCTCGGCAGAATGAACTTCCGTGAGGTTTTCATATCATTTCCCCGTTACGCGACGAGCGTGGGTGGAGGAAAGACAGATGATAAGTGGAACCGAGAGATGTATCTCGCACGAAGGGAAGTTCGCCGAGCTGTATTATCATTAGTGATCCTCGCGATACATATCAAATCATTTGAATGCAGTCCTCGTGTCTCATCCTCGGTGGCGATGCAAATTTCAAGGCTACTGGATCATTCTTTTACATAAAAGCTAAACTACTATAATCCTTGCGTGAAGCCACTTAATATATTAAAATCATTCCAAACTCACATTAATCAAGCGTGTACACACTTGTGATCTAATCGAATCCACGCATTATTTTATACAGGGTGATTCAGGACTGAAGGTCAATACTTCAGGAAACCATTCTTTACGTAATTCTGAATTAAAAATTTCATATGAACATGTGTTTTATTCGCAATGGTTGCCGAGAAAAATCAATTTAATGTATTTTGACCAACGTAATGCGTAAATCATGCTTTCCGATTCCAAGGCGAATGACCTTCTACTTACTGTACGTAACACTCTATGCACAATAGCAGGCAACAGGCAATAAGAACAGGTAATAGGAATTTGGATTAGTTAATTATTTCTATTCCCTGTTCCTATTGACTAATGCCTATTCCTATTGCCAGTTACCTGGCATTGTGCATAAGGCTTAACTTGTGTGGCGCGGGTATCCGCTGAGTGTAAACACTACTCACTGTTATTAGTGGCGCTATGGGCAACCTTCAATGCGTATTGCAACCTGTTTGAAATAAGTTAATTCAGTTTGCTTTGCAGTTTGTGTTTTATTGTTAAAGCGTGGTGAACAATCAGTCATTCAGTGACTCAATCCGTGATGGTACGATCTATCTTATGTAATTTAGTTTACTTTTGTAATGGATTTTTGTATTTGGGGGTGGATGAAAGACTTAGTATACGCAGTGAAAGTTCAAATACGAGAACAACTGCTAGCTCGCGTGCTGGACGCTGCGCGGCAAATAAAGGAAAGTTACGTACAGCAATCAGCTATACGCGCGGTTCATACTCGTGCGTTACGCTGTATACAAGCAGATGGTAGCATAATTGAAAACACCCTTTAAACTAAGATAAGTGTAATTTGAGTTATCTAAGAAGTGTTACAAGCATGGATGTGGAATGAAATATTTTATTTTCTATTAATATCCCCAATAATGTTTTAAAAACTGAACTTCTCAGATAGAGTTTAAAGTTATTATAAGTTTATAATCGTTCGAAATAAGACTTATGTTTATATGAACTTTTTAATTCAGAATGATATAAAGAATGGTTTTCTGAAGTATTGACCTTCAGTCCTGAATCACCCTGTATAAAAACCATCATTCTTTTTAAATTTCGGTCAATTTGATCAAGATGCTCTGTCTATATTGCGTGTTATGTACTAGCTAAAATTATTCAGTATTATCTGGATCGCAAAATCTCCGAGAAATGAAATCAAGAGAATGGGGTAAGGTGTTCACACGCAAAAAAAATCTCGGTGCAAGTGAATAGGAACCAACTAAAAATTAGGTGATCAGAAGCGATATTTGTTTTGAAAACTAATATTTCTGTTGTCGCAACCGAAAATATTCGTCTGAACATTCAGCGATATTAGAACTTGGTTGAAGCAACTGAGAACAATTGACTATTGGTCTATTCTTTTTAGCCACACTGCTGAACTAGTGTAATAAGTTAAAGTGAAACAAATATACTTTCTTTCATTCTAACTTGTTGCACTAGTTTAGCAGTACAGCTAAAAAGAACAGTATATATAGAAGCCTCATAAAAGAATTTTTCTGTTTCTACGGCCGAGTTTTCGTCTGATCCTTGAGTAACCGAAAATTCGGTTACACCAATAGAATTGTTTTTTCCGTGCAGGTTCCATCTAGCTTAAAGAACAACTATGCAAAATTTAGTTCAGATCGGTTCAAGAGTTTTAATATTATATAGAGAAAAGATAGATCGACATTCTATTTTATATATATATATAGATAGATATTTGCAATGTTAACGACGAAATGTGTCAATGACTAACTATCGCTTTCTGTGCAGAATATCGAATGATCTGTGAAGGTGTACAAGGCATTGCGCCATAAATCGTCGATTTATCATCACCAGCAACACTTTGCATTCGCGTTCGATTTTGCACACGGCATCATTGACACCGTCATTGAATTACAGCCAGCGACAGGGAGAGGCAGAAGAACGTACGGCGGATACGGCGCTTGCACACGGCATCGTTGATATCTGGTTGATAGATAATGGCGTCTCGTGGAAGGTGATAAGCACTGGTCACGTATTCGCACATAATGTTGCGTTAATGCCGTGTTCAAGCATACCGTTGAACAATACGCATTCTGCATTCCAAGCTATGTTTAAGGCACATGCCGAGGCGGAATTAGTTGCGTAATTAGGATACGGCAGAAATGACGTGTCAACGCGAAAGCATTCGTTTCCTTCGCAATAACGACGATACACACAGAAAAATGCATGCTGCATTCGAATAAATGTTACTTGTTTCAAGTATTCTATAAGCTTCTACATCCAAAATCTTATCATAATCATCCACCACGAACCGAGAATTACCCAAAATATGTTCTAAATTTTCATAAGTTAAACATTTCAATCAAGAAGTTAAGAGAAAAACATGGTTTGCTTATCACATAGAGTCGAACCAACTTTTTCTTGAATTTTATATAATATTTTATTAAAATTTTATAATAATAAATTAAAATAATATTATATATAATAATATATAATGTTCATAATATATATATTTTTAATAATATATATTTAATATATTATTATATTGAATAATATTATATTAAATATAATAATATATTTTTAATAATATATTATAGTATTACTTACAATATAATATTCTTGTTGTTTTCTTAAATTTGTGATGAGTACATTCGACGACTGTTACCAAGGAACTTTTTGTTAAAAATTACTTAAGAGGAGAATAAACTGAGTAGCTTTTTTTAACAGCAGAATGATATCTTTCTGTGTGTAATATCGACGTTCTTTCCCGTTGCTGCGCGCTTCCTGTCTTTATTTTTCAAGCCGATGCGTAAAAAAAGCGATCACGCTCCACAGACAAATAATGTCTGAGCTATAATCCGATAAAAATCATAGATGTACATATAGATTTCGGTAAGGAAATATACTACGACCAGAGTTCGAATTTGACTTTGACGTGCATTGTACGAGCGGAGTTGACTATCGCATATACCAATATTGACGTCACAATTTCTTATCATGTATGATACGAACGCTTGAATCTATCTTTATACGAATCTTATCTGAAGTAGGCGGGTAAGTAACAAAAGTAACATTTGAGATAATTCGACAAACTGACATGTCATTCGATACGGACGATTACTTCATAAACAAACAGTGGGTCGAAATTAACCGCTAACTTTCCACTGCGGTAGAGAAGAAAAACTTATGGGAAAGCGAGCGCTGTCATCAAACAGCCGGGACAACTTGATAGAGAGTCGTTAAACTTTTTTTTTCTGTTTCCGAATCTCATCGGCGGTAACCCGCATGCAATTATCGCGCGAAATCGCTTTCTTCCGTTACGCAACTTGGCATGGAAAGTGGGAAGCATCGAATGTGCATCATTGACAATTATTGCAAAGTCGCGAAGAATAATAACGATCTCGAGATGTTAAACGAGCAGATGGTAGTCAAGAATCCCGTTCCGCGGTACGAGTGACGAATTTACGATTGAGTCGCAATACTCCTTGCCGTAAAAGCGAGCTGTTTTATGCCGTCGCGACGTGCGATCGCGAGGAATAAAAATGGATTTGTGACGGTTTGCAGATTCGCCGATAAGGTGAGCTACGGCTACGGAACAAGCATCCCCCCGCTGAACAATGTCGAGGACGAGAAGGAAAATGAAAGTGACTTGTCATCGCGGAAGGTGATCTTCTGCGTTCACGGAAAATTGTCGGGCTGCTGTACGGTGGTGAAAGGCTCCTCCATCGATGAGACTCCTTCTGTGGAATATCAACAGAATCTGACAGGTATGATTTGGATGAAATTTAACAATAGCATGACCAGTATAATTGAGAGAATATTTACTATAACGAAATAAACGAAAGAATCCATTTAATGGTATTCAGAGAAATTTTGCGGATTACGCTATTATTAGGTTGTATCAGTAAAGTAGCTCTTATGATCTTTCATTTTTAATAAGCATCATTCAAGACATTTTTAATCATAATTAATGGATCTTTTATTTTTAATAAGCATCATTCAAGACATTTTTAATCATAATTAATTTAATTGGATTTATTGTGCTTTCAGTGCAGGAAGACCACTGTCACAGGGAGAGGAACGAGGATATCGACAAGAAGGCCCGAAAGAAGCTGTGGCTCGCCAGTGCGCTATGCGTCGTTTTCATGATAGCAGAAATCGTTGGTAATACAACAAAATTCCTGATGAGCTTATCAGTATAAAATAACTCTTTGCAGCGGCTATTTACGAAAACAGGCAATAACCACGCGGTTTATTCTTCTCTTCTTTTTTGCACTTCAGGCGGAGTATTATCGAATAGTTTGGCGATAGCGACTGACGCCGCACATTTGTTGACGGATTTTGCGTCGTTCATGATATCCCTTTTTTCCATTTGGGTCGCGGGCAGACCGGCCACCAGGAAAATGCCTTTCGGTTGGTATCGCGCAGAAGTAAGCATCGCATCTTTGATTATTAATATACACATCGAATGAATTATAATTGAAGGGATGACGCCAAAGTGGATGACGAATTCTAAGAATATCGATAACGTAAAAGTCAAGCATCACTAACACAATCATGCTGTCTTTTGCACACTTTTTGTACATATAAGTCTTGTATCAATGTGTGCTGCTTTATTTTACCATATATTCTGCGGAAAACTTGATCACGCGTGTATAGAAATCTTTCTGCAAACTTTTCGTATTTACTTTCCGTATATTTTTAAGCTCCTAAGTTCAATAAAGATACAATAATGTTCAGCAAATATAATTCCTCGAAAGAGGAGATTCCTCGAAATCTCCCTGAGCGGAACAGACATTCAAAGTGTAAAATAATAATAATAAAACACTGATATTTTCGTGTTATTTCAGGTTATCGGTGCGTTAACGTCAGTTTTGCTGATATGGGTGGTCACCGGGATTCTGTTTTATCTAGCAATCGAAAGAATTGTCAATAAGGACTTTGAACTGGACGCCACGGTGATGTTGATCACGTCTGCAGTTGGTGTCGCGGTAAATCTAGTGTTAGTGATACCATTAACGATAATACTTACTTAATGCTCCGCGCGACTCACGCGGCTCATGCATAATACCGATCGCCACGACGCGTTTGCGCTCAATAACGATCGGAATTATGCGAACCGTCACGTTAAATTGACTTTGGAGAAGTTTTCCCTCGCGAAGCAAACGCGTGAGAGAACGTGAAATGAAGTGAAAGTGACATATGAGCACTAGAAATGCACGCGTAATGATTGCTATCGAGAGACGCACGAAGGTAATAATTTTTACATTGCAGAATGGGCCTGTCGTTGCATCAACATGGCCACGCTCACGGCGGTGGACACAGTCACAGCGGTGAACACAGCCACAATGGAAATAAAGACGTGGAAAATCACGACGATGATGCCAAAGAACAGAGAAACATCAACGTGCGCGCGGCCTTCATTCACGTTTTGGGTGATTTTATTCAGAGTATAGGTGTATTCATCGCTGCATTAGTCATATACTTTAAGGTACCTCCGAATTTTCATAGGTAGCTTGGTAGCTTCCCAATGAGAAATGACTCGTCGATCGACGAGTCATTTCTCACTGGGTTCCCGTCTAATCGATCGGTTTTTCGCGGACTAGAGATGAAACTTCGGAAAATTATGACATCTCTTTACGAAAATCTTTGCGTTTGTTTAATCAAGCGAACATTTTCCTGTTGAAGCTTTCAGATATTCTAAATCTTCACGTTTACGTTTCAGCCAAGTTGGAGCATAGTGGATCCAATATGCACGTTCCTCTTCTCTATATTAGTTATGCTCACTACAGTAGCTATTATTAAAGACGTAATGAACGTCCTGATGGAAGGCATCCCCAAAGGCTTCGAGTATTCTCACGTGGAGAACACCTTCATGCAAATAGATGGTGTTGTTAAGGTGCACAACCTTCGAATTTGGGCGCTCTCGCTTGACAAAACTGCCTTGTCAGCGCATCTTGCTATAAGTAAGCTCCATTCTATAAATATAATCGACGATATACGTCTTTCTTATTTGTGTGTCTCAGTTACATAATTCGATTGCTCTGAAATAACGTGTCCCGCTAAACACCGTGTATTTTTAAATGACAATCTATTAATTTAAATTGAGTCCTTTCTCTCGATGTCCCTTCTGATTGTCCATTTCATTTCTATTCCGAAATTCCCGAAGGGTTCTTCGAATCTCGCTGATGCATTTTTCACTTTTCAGAACCTGGGACAAGTCCGCAGAATATTCTGCGCACCGCCACGCGAAATATCCACGACAAGTACGAATTTTTCGAGATGACGTTGCAAATAGAAGAATTCAACGAACGAATGGAGAATTGCAAGCAGTGTAATTCATTGTCGCAATAAGGTTCGCGTCATTGTACTTACGTGCGCTGTACACGCGATATAAACGCATCGGAGATAAATTTAGAAGTCTCGTGATGCTCCACCGAATAAAGACGTCGAAATTGTTTCACGTGAGCAAACGCAGCATATATATGTTATGCTGAACCGTTGCAGCCTTTTCTCCGTAAAGAAACTCACGATCAATCGGCCATAATTCGCTATGGTTACAGTGAATAGTTCAATTTCTTGTTATTCAATTTAAGTAAATTAAATAGCCATAACCATCCACCTAAGTTATATCATTATTGTGTAAGTCGTAAATCCTAACTGTCGTTTGTTGCGATAATTTGCATTAGCATCTTGATACACTGATGCAAGCATTGTGATCGATATTTATTTTGAAAAGTTACTTATATATTTACAATAAAAGTTACCAAGTCATCGGTTCGATCGTTCAAGGTCCAAGATCTCCGCTTGGAATCTTGGTCAATCTCGGAATGGTCTCGTAAACTATTTTGAAACGCAAATAAACAAAGAGAATATATTTTTCCAACGAGACTCTCGCAGCGATCGCACTTTTGTCGCTTCGACATGTAAACAGACAAGCAGGTGTCCGCGTTCGCAAACGCGAATCGAAGACTATCGCTCCTCGTACAAAATGTCACATCTCGCGCGAGCAAGCAAAAAAAGTGCGATCGTTTGACTTACAATTCTACAATCCTCACACCATCACAATATTGATCCTCGTCACTTTTCAGATCCCTTCAAGCTCAGACTTTGTTGCTACCAGCGTCTCCTCGAATTCACTTCTGTTCGCGATCGACTCCTCGATCATTCCCCGAGTATCGATTATCGCGCTGGCGCCGACTTCCGCGCCTAATTTCAAGCGATGCGGCGTTTTCAGCCCGATCGAATTGTGTCCCTCGTTGAGCGTACGTGCGCGCCATCTGCCGCGAAGAGGACGCGGCTACGCAGCGCCGCCGCCGCCGCTGCAGCGTTCCAGTTCCGCGGTTCCCCGCGCATGAGCGCGTCCGGCTGTTGGAGCGCGCTGGCAAGCGGAACGTCGCGTCGCGGAGCGGAACGAGATGTTGCGGAGCGGTGCGGAGCGGCGCGGCAACAGACATGCGGCGTAAAGCGGGACGAGGTGCGTCAGGGGCCGCCGGGCAGCCGCCTTCGCGCCGTTAACCCTCCCCGGTAAACGTCGACGTGCGCGGCGACGACGACCAGCAAGTGCGTAGACGCGCGCTCGCGACGATTCTACGATGTAGCCGTCGCGGTTCGTCTCTCTGTCTACTTACCTGTCTGTCTATCTCTCTCTCTCTCTCTTTCTTCGTCTCTCTATTTCTCTCTTTCTCTCTCTTTCTTCGTCTCTCTATCTCTCTCTTTCTCTTTCTGTCTCTCTGTACCTTCATTCTCTTTCTCATTCTCTTTCTCTGTCTCTCTCTTTCTCCTCGCCGTCTTCCGGGCCGGTATCGCGGGCCGAGCGAGGACGACCGGGTGTAAGAATCGATCTCGCACGTGCGAGATCGCGCGTCGTCGCGAGCGACCGCCGCCTGATCGGTCCAACGCGTACGGTCCCGGTGGATACCGGCCGAGCGGCGACGAAGATGGCCAGCTCGCCCACCAGCATCGAGAACCAGATCGACAGCTTCCTGGAGCAATTCAAGCGCAGCGCCTCCCGGGCGATGGAGGACACTGGCCAGCATCCGCCGCCAGTCTCGTCCGGGTACAACGCCTGCGGCAGCAGCAGCATCAGTCGCAGCCGCAGCGGCAACCTGGACCTGGAGATGCTCGACGCGGGTGAGTTTGTTCGATCGCACGAACGTCCGTTCGGTAGAACCTGCTGGGGACCGAGTGAAGCGAGAAGGAAAGAAAGAGAAAGGGAAAGAGAGATAGTCGAAGAGGGAGTGAGGGAATGCGCTTCGCGGTCGGTCACTCGCCGACCCGCGGGGTTTTGAATTTTCTCGTCCTCTCTCTCCGGTCACGACGAAAGTTCAGGTCGCGTGTCCTCGCTTCGCCAACCCATCACCCTTCTCCGAGCGCGACGGTCGACGGTTACGCAGTAAGGAGGTTTCTTGAGCAAACCCGCCGGCCCGAGCGACGTTCCTGCAACCGGTTCCACGAAGTGGAGGTTACCCGATCGCGTGTTGTCGAGCCATCGATGCAGGCTCGGCATTCCGCATCGGCGGAATCGTCTCGGGGAGATTCGGGAGTTGAATCGCGCACTTTGAATCTCACGTCGCTCCCCGCGAAGCGAGTGCGAACACGTAATTCGCGCTCGCACTCGCGTCGGAAGCGTCAAACACATCCGGTAGCGTGTCCAAGGATCCGGATGCGCGGTTTGAATTTGCGTCACTTCCTGCGGTCAGTTTTGCTCGAGGTGCAAGTGCAACACGATTGCGTCATGTTGTGTCGGGCGGATCGAACGGCTTCCAGAAGATTTCGCAGCCGTCGATAGCAAATCGAAAGAGACGAGTCCCGTCACCGTCCGGCGATTAATATCGCGCCGAGATCAACGGTCTTGTGCACGCCGTCGCATGTTGCATTGCCGTTGTCCACGATGGCCCTCATCCTGAGTTCTCTTTCATCAATAGAAGTGCCTCTAAACATAACTCAAGGCAATCAGACAAGGCTTGCGAGCCGCACTTAGATTGCACCAACCAAGTGGTAAGCTAACTAGCAGTTCGATCGAACATCTGCCTTTGTTTTCACTTCAAAATCAACGTTTGATTCAAAGACAAACGTATGATTTAACTCGGTTGACTCACCAAGAGGTTGGCGCAAGGTCCAACACTTTTATTGACAAAAGAGTGTTCGTGGGATAAGAGCCGAGCATCTGAGTGGATTTTGCGGTTCGCAGCATTCGACGGTACCGCGATATCCCTCTTACTGGGTCACAGAGGCCTTCGACATCTGCTACGAGGTTTGAATTTCCGGCGCCGCATGCGCTTAATTGCGCGCCGCGCCGAGTTACATTGTTACATCGCTGTATCGAGTTGTCAGTTTGATCGAAGGGCTCCGGGAAGATCCGCAATTCTCGACTCGAGTTTCCGGTGCACGACACAGATACACGCATAGTGCGCGATTAAATTCTACTCAGTTACACCGCACTTACATTGTTGCATGCATGTTGTGATATGCATCTCAAAAGAGCTGCGCTGAGACCGGCGGCTCTTAATTCCGCGTGCTGTGAAGTTGCCGCAGGCGTTTGCCCCTTCGCTCGCGCACCTTCATGCGATCTTCGAGTGAGATTTAAGCGGATGGCACACAGAAAAACGTAAGCAGTAAGAAAATCGACCAATCGGTTATCCTTGGGCCGTAAGAGGAATCATCGACTGTGGTTGGTTAGTATGCTAACTGCTTATGTTTCTCTATGCTCCCGGCATCTTTGTACCTAGGATGTGGATATGTTATGTACAAAGTTTATATATTTACAGACACGCGCGTTATATTCGTACATATATTCTATATATCGTCCGTAGGGCGGGGAGGAGGGAATGGAGAGAAAGAAAAATCGCAGCGAAATGTGAAAAATGCAGGTAAAACGGCAGCTCTCTTGGGATCTGCTTTGCACGTTGTTGTACTTTTCGCATTCGCGAGACGAGACGGGTGTGTGCTCGTTACTCGGGACGAACGGAGAAGCAAGAGAAAATATATAGGACAGCATGGCTGTCCTAAAACGAGACAGATTATTATAGGAAAAAATAGACAGTTGCGCTGTAGGTCGTGTTGCGTTGGGTCGTTGAACGGATCGAAGAGCTTCAAGGTTTCCCAAAAGCTTCGTCTTGCCAAACGGATTTAAATTTCAGCCACTGTGCGCGGGCATTCCTGTCGGCGTTCCTGTAATTCGGCGCAATTGGCGTGGTGAGCTCAAAGAGCTCAAAGGGTTTCCAATAGGTTTGCTTCTCGACGAGGATTTGATTTTCCGTTGCTGCGAGCAACTCCTCGCGCATTCCCATAATCTTCCGCGTAAAGTAATATTAGTTTTATTTTTCTATCGAATCGCGTTAATGTGTATGTACGTATGTGAGAGAGAGAGAGAGAGAGAGAGAGAGAGAAAAATATCAAAGGGTTCTCTGCCTTTCCCACGCCTTGTCTCGTAATTTCACGAATATTGTCATTACACCTCGCTTTCCGCTCGATACCATCATTGTTCGCGTCTCGTCGCGACCGCAGGGCGCAAAATGCTGGGAGATTTTTATATGGGATCACGGACGCGGATTAGGGCGGATGAAACGTGTACAACAAGGATATCTCGTGACACACGTGTCGCGCAAGCGAATTCGTGCGCGACGTCCTTCGAGATATGAAATAGCCTTCCAGCTATTTTTCGCGGCGCTCAAACTTTCATCATTTCTCTCGTCAGCTCCTACGGCTCTCATTTGCGCGGATAAAGGTGCCTCTCGATTCGAATCCTGATTTAAGTCCGACGACACCGCCGGCTGACGTTCGCGCTTCATTATTCGCTCGCCGCGTGTGACGTGGAGTGGAGATGGTTTCGATTGATTAAAAGCTCGCGACGCGCTCGCCGGGATGTGAACGCGATCGCTCGACCACGTCTTCATATTCTGTTCCTGAAATCGTGTGTGACGTGTATCGATTCCCGCGCGTTACCCCTCACGAGTCCTTCGATCCAAACGCGACGCACGAAAATGCCGTTGACGAAGAGCTACTCGAGTCGACAGTTCTGTTCGACGTCAGCCCCGCAAACCTCAAATTTTATGGACCAGTATAAAATCTCCACATATACATTGTACAACTATACAGTGCTACTGACTGTACAAGTCTTCAATTATTTAATTGAATCCAGGTTTAAAGGACACGTCAAGAGTCTCTGCTCTTTACGATTTTAGCATTTCTGTAATTTGGAGTGGCATTATTTAATATTTCATTATCTCATTATTTCATCTGCGTTGAATCTCCCTTTAGTTTAATCAATCTCTCAATAAGCAACGCATTAATTATGCAATTTATTCGATTGCAGATAGAATATGTATGTGATAAGCAAATATTAAATAATGCAATAAAAATTACTGGGTAGATGCAATTTGTGAGTCAATTGAACAACAAACTTTTCTTTGCATAATCTCTTTATGAAAAACGTCGAAATATTCATCTCATCTAAGAATTGAAAGTTATTCAAATAATATCGACATCTTCAACGACGTGCAAGAACGACGTCAAACACTTAATTCTGAACGGGCAACGACACGTCGTATATTTTCAGGTATGTGAAATCATTTATTATACAGAATGGTTTTGACTTGAACGAACATTTGGCGAACTTATTGAAGTATACCCGAGACGAAACTTTATAATCTACTCTAAGCCCAGCATTTAAAAATTTGGTTGGATTAATGTACCCGAGTCGAAATTTTGACTCTATGTTGAACCTTGAATTCTATACCGCAGTAGCAGCTAAGATAGCAAAATAGGTTTCTAATGATATAATTTGAAATGAATTCTAATGATATAATTTACTCTTACTTTGACCCTGATGATGTCTGAAATTTACGCTTTTGCTTTTTTTAGCATCAAAGTAGGTTGTATAATAATAGAATCTTAGGAAGCAAAGTAGGGAACCTTTATTGAAGCTTTAGCTCCTACATAGAATATATGTATTTTATAGAATTCAAGGTTCAACATAGGGTTAAAATTTCGACTCGGAAATGAATGTCAATATCTTCAAAATAGGTTTCACCTGGATTGTAGATTATCTAAGTAGGCTCAAACTATTTTTAAGAGCGTCAAAGTTTTGACAAGGTAGACTTAAAGGAGAAGTTAATGAATATCAATATCGTCAAAGTAGGTTTTACTTAGGCTATAGACTGTCTAAGTAGGAGCAAACTATCTTTAAAAACGTCAAAGTAGCATCAAAATTTCGACTCGGGTAGGTTAAAAATTTTCTAATTGTCCGTAAATTTTGTTTACTGCTTATTTCATAAAATAAGGAATATTATTCCAACTAACCGAATAACGACTTATGACAACTCTGCATTAAATTGCATTCTTGATCAAAGATCGTAAATAATTTATAATCACACTGAAAAAGAAATATGTGAATATTTTAATTTGTGGGATATAAAGTTTATTTCTGCGAAAGAAAATTTGGTCTCATAAATAAGTTTTCAAGTATTTTTCTCTTAGTGCACAGTGAAAAAAAAATCTAAAAAATAAGAAACATTTATTTACTGGGTAGTAATAACAATATTTACTTCATACTAAAATCTGTTACTTACACAAATATTTGATATAATCAAGAACTATGCGTTTCAAGAAAATATAATAAGTAAATATGTTATTAGTACCCGACGAATAAATAAATATTCTTTACTTTTTACATATTTTTCCCCGAGAATACCGACCCAAGTCTCGCAAGCGTTTATTTGTGTCTCCGATAATGCTCTTTGAGGGTAACAATCTTATTTAAAATCTCTCGATATATTTTTCTTCTCGCTCACATTTCTCTCTGCTATTGTATCGAAAAGTCAAGTTGAAATCATTCACGTCAGTAACGTCTGACGTTAATTTACTCGTCGATTTCTCCATCGTCGACTACACTTCCAAGTTTTGTCTGTGTACGCCTTTAATCCTCAGCCGACAATGAATTACGGATTTATTTGCATTGGAATTCATACATATACTCGTTATTGATCCGTAAACAATGGGATTGGCGGTTCTTTTATCCGCGTGTCGTCGTTGTGACAAATTAGTCGAGCGTCATATTATACCGCATCACACGTTAATAATCCGTCTCGATACGTTTCATCGATACCCGCCCGCATTCCTTCTCATAATGATTGCATTTTCGCCGGAACTGATCACGGCTTGATCGGAATGGCCGTTAATCAGTTTACGAATATTAATTCGGCGCTCTACTAAGTGTCCCTCGCGTTCAATTTTTCCTGCCGCTTGCGAATTACCACCGGCCTTTGACGAGGACGATAAATCAATTTTGCCGTCCGATAGAGTGAATAATCGGGTAACGTCATCTCGCGAAATACCTTCTGTCGTGTGAACCACGTCCGCTCGGCCGCTTCGAGGCGACTTGTAAAATTAATTAGCGTTTTATTCGATAACGACGGTCGACGTGGACTTCTTAATTTGCTCTGCAAATACACTCGAGTCTCCGTTCTCTTTTGGTGAATTGAGGATGTTACACGCGTTATATTTTGGTCACAATCGTGATAATTAATTTACAAGCTTGATTGTCAGCTCGCGCTTGCGTCATGAGCCTTCTGCTCAAGTGAAGAATTACATTTTTTACACAGGAAAAAGAATTTGACGTGAAGCTTGGTTTTAATGAACAAGCCAACGTGTTTTGGCTAAAAGATACAGAACTTTGGTGGTTCTTGTGACCCAAATTTGGCTCTAAGCACCAGAAATTCCGTTTTCTTCAACGGAAACGCGTTGATTCGTTCGTTACAACCAAACTTCATGTTGGCGCAATCAAACTTTTTCTCCGCGTACCTCAGACTTTTCGCGCGCACACTTTTACTCGCCATGATTTTCCTCTCTCTTGAAGTGAATATTTAAGGACGAGATATATTATTAGCTCAAATTAATCTTCTTGCAACGTGTAGCAGCTCTTTCGAGACATAGTTTTTACCGAGGCAGTTACTTATGCACGTTTCAGCGTTTCGGAGGCGCAACCGCGACGGGAAGAAAGTTCGAAAGTTTGAAGCGTTTCCCCTCACCGCGGAAATTAATTATCGGCGTCATTTCACGTGTACCACGTTTCCGAAGAGTCGATCGGGTGGCGAAATCGCCGGAGAGAAAATTCGCGCAGATGCGTGCAGATGCAATCTCACGATTTTGACAGCGACACGCTGCGAGTCACGTGCATCGTCCCCTCTTGTCAACACTGCTCGCTCGTCATTGGTGGCTCTCCCTCACACTTACCTCCGTCGCGTGTCAGGATCGTAGCTAGGGCGGGTGCTGTCAACTCGTAAAAATCCAAACAGAGGCTGCGAGATATTCGTATCTTTAAAATCGCCAAGTAATCTTCGTATGCAATCGCGTATTTTACTAATGACGCTTAATTTCTTCTGTAGGCTCCTCTCAGGGAAAGAGTAAGTCTCTCTTATATCTCTTACATCTCTCAGGGAAAGAGTAAGTCTCTCTTACATCTACACTGAGAGAAAAAAAATAATATTAACTTCACTTTATAAAAAGTACAAAAAATATTTACTCGATGCGTAACTAATTACATACTTAAATTTAAATTCTTTTATTTAAACAGGTTAGACAGAAACTAAGGTTTTAAGGAAATGTACATTTTCTTATGTGAAAAAATTTTATATCGGTAAGTGACATTAGAATAAATATACTTTGTTTCTTGGATATTTTTTCTCAGTATGCTCTCGTCATCCTAAGGTCTATTTTTCTCAACTGAACCAAGTTGCATTTTTTGCCATTATAGCGTGTATAGCGAGTATAAAACTCAAAGCTTGTCCACAATACACGGAGTGAGCTTGGCGGAAATAATAAGAAATAGAATTGATCTCGCTTACACCTATACTTTAGCTCCCCGACACCGGAAGTATATCTCTTGAGTGAGAAGGAACGAAGTTCCAGTGCAGTACATTAGTTCAGACTAAAGGCCCGTCTACAATGGAAGTAAAGTCTGGCTGTAAGAAGTAACAGTAAGAAATTGACCAATCACAGTCGATTATTCTTCTCACATTCGACTGTGATTGGTCAATTTCTTACTGTTACTTCTTACAGCCACACTTTACTTCCACTGTGGACGGTCCTAAAGAGAACGACAGACCTCGTTATCCCAAGGGCCGAGCGGATCGCGATTACGAGCCTGCGGCGACGCCGCGTTATGGCGCCGTGCCGCAGCCGCATCGCGACGCGTCATTGCGGCCAGGCTGCGTCCGTCGAGCCGCGACGACTACGCACTCCGGAGTCTCGTCCTCGTGAATTCGAGATCTTTCCCGCGGTGACGACAGTGGCCGCTTCTCGCGTCCGCGTCCAAGTCGTGCACACATCGTCGGGGGAGAAATCCAAGAGCACCGTCACCGTCGCCACCTCCGTGTCGCCGTGGCCGCTCCTGTCTGCTTCTACCACCTCCACCGTCAACGCCGCCGTTGCCGCCGCCGTCGCCGCCGCCGCCGCCGCCGCCGGCGCGTACGATTCTATCGATCACACGGAGTGTCAACGGGTGTATGTGCGTACGATGCGCCCGAACGTTCGCTCCCGGCGACGCCGCGTGTCGTTGGATCTCCTCGCGCGACGCCGGTAATCGCCGCGCCAACCGCTTCTTCGATTCGCGCAAGCGGACGACGCGTCATCCGCGAACGACATCCACGGCGTATGTAAAGCACGTGCGCGGGTGGGCTCTCTGTGCGACGGAGCAGTTCCTTCATCGGCGCGAAGAAAGCCCGAGGTTGTTGTAGTAACGACGAAAATAGAGACGCGCGGAATATCCTCGCTTGTTGGGCGAGTCGCAGTCATCGAATGCTCGTGGGCGATTCCGCGATCCCACTGGCGCGGAATTTTCGCGTACGGCAAATTCGTCGGGGAAGAACGACGCCGGCGGCGACGACGACGACGACGACGACGACGACGCTGTGAGTGATCGCGAAACGAATTTTCAATGGCAGTACGCAATATCTGGCCTGGCGCGCGCGCACGGGATCCCGTGGGAAAGTGTCAGGGAAGCAAATTTATGAGGCCTAATAGTGTTAGGTGCACGCTCTAAAGATTATAATTAGCGGAAACACTTATTAACGATGATTCCCACGTAATACAACGGCCGTGTGCACTGTTTGGTGCAAAACTTCTTATGCAATGTATCATCCCGGGATAGCGCGCGCGGAAGACAAGCAGACGTTGACCCTGCGACGTCGGTCTTCCTCGAGGAAGAAAGAAAACAGATTCCACCGAGACTTCTGTCGGAAGATCCCGGTGTCGAAGGATCAACGAGTGATTCGGGAGATCGGTCGGGAGATGAATACTGGAAAAATACCTGAAATTTTATTTGTGAAAATTATAAAGTTTATTTTCACAAAAAACATTTTATTTTATACAGAAATGAACCATACTTCACGGAAATAAACTCTATATCTCGCAAATAAATTTTCAAGTATATATCTCACATAGCAGAAATATTCAAAATATATCATGGGGATATTCTAGAGATATTGAGATATCTTTAGGACATCCCAATAATATATTTTGAACATTCTGCTATATACGATTTGATACACTGAGAAGAGTACTTAAAAATTAACTTGTGGGCTATTTATTTTCACAGAAAAATATCCTACTTCATACAAAAATGAACTTTATTTCACAGAAATAAACTTTATATCCCGGAAATAAATTTTCAAGTATCCTTTCTCAGTATATGCGATCTGATACATTGAGAAAAGAGCATTTGGAAATTTACTTGATAGGCTATAAATTTTATTCACAGAAAAACATTTTATTTCACACATAAATGGACTTTATATCACAGAAACAAACTCTATCCCGCAAATAAATTTTCAAGTATTTTTCCTCAGTGTTATACGATCCTTAGTTTTACGATCTGATACGACCTGATGCGCTATGAAAGTAGTACTTGAAAACTGACTTGTGAGATATAAAGTTTATTCACAGAGATAAATTTTGCTTTGCAGAAATAAACCTTGTATCAGAAAAATGTTCAACCTTTTCTCAATGTCGATTTGCATCGCAACGTTTGTTTCATTCGCGTGCAGGAATCCCGAAATAATCGTCCCGCGACCGTAGGGTGTGTCGCATCCCTGTCGCGCGTTTCAAGACCCGCGCGACGTTCTCCCGACGATTGTACCGGCGTTCGTGAACCGTGGAACTGTGAAACGAGCTGTAGGGTCGTTGGTGAACGCACCTCGCGAGGTATTGACCACCGAACATTGTCTTGCGGCTGTTAACACGATAGCTTATCAGCGAGGTCGGCATGGAGGTGCATATGCAGAGCGTGCATCGGGTGCAAGTCGAGATTATATACGAGAGTGTGCGGAGGCCGTGCAAATGGGAGCGCTCGCTAAATTTGCATGATTACTGCCGACCATGGCGAATTATTCGCCGGAATATGTCCCCGCGACGTAAATCGCCCGGCAAATCTCCCGAGCGCGATAAAAGTTAACCGACCGGAATCTCGCGGGTGCGATAAGAGTCTCCGGCAAAATGTCGCGAGCGTGATAAGGGCCCGACTGCACGCACAATGGTCGCGGATTTATTTAGCACGCGTGATATTTTGCGCCCTAAAGTCTCCGAACTGTTCTCCTATCGACAGCAGGCAGTTTAAAGCTTGCTCGTGCGCCGGCCACTCCTCTCAGAATTCTCTAAATACTTCGCCACGCTCATTTTCGGCGAATAATTACAAATCTTTTAGTCGCGCGGGATACGAGTCGCTGGCGAAAAGTCTGCACGCTGATCAGAGAGGATTGGAGGCGCACGGGAAAAGATCTCGGTACGTGTGACTGAACAGCGATCTGACGAAAACGCACGACTCGCAGACTATATCTTCGTTACCGCGACTGGAAACACTCGTGTGAATATCCGATTGCTTGAAAACTTAGCTGAGATATAACTGAGAACAATTGACCAAGGAGGAACTTGCTACAGTTCTGCGTACAATCGAGTTTTCATAATCTTTTTCTTCCTGGGAAAAAAATATCAGTTCATGCAACTGGATAACGACCAGATGAAAATTCAGCGACGTGAAATAATATCTTTTTCATCGCGAACTGAAAACATTGATTTAAAAATCTAACGGCAATAACAGAACAATTGACTGACGAGTAAACCTAAGGTTTGTTCTTTTTAGCTAAACTGCTTGAATTGGTGCAATAAATTAGAGTGAAACAAAATATATTTGTCTTGCTCTAATTGGTTAGGCGACAATTTCCGAAAAGTGGAAGGGATAATGTTGGTATCAAAGAAAATCTCTACACGATATAGTTTAATGATCTGTTCTTCGTAACTGCACTGCTGAACTAATGCAAAAGATTAGAATGAGAAAACATACTTGTCTCACTTCAATTTATTGCATCAGTTCAGCAGTGCAGTTACAAAGAACAGGCCTTTAAATTATATCGTTAATTATGTAGAGATTTTCCTTGGCACCAACATTATTCCCTCCACTTTTCGGGAAATTATCGCCTAACCGCTCTAATTTATCACCAGTGTGCATCATTTCAGTTAAAAAAGAACAGACCTCTATTTTTGTGTTACTCGTCGATTTTACTGAAATTTGACGTATAATAGACAAAAATAACAATCGAGTTCATATTTTTATGCTTTTTGCAGCACAATTTTAGAACACATTTTCCGTGGTACTTGATTACAACCGAGTATTCTCTTTCGGCACGAGTTCTCGCTGGTGAAGCGTCACCATAATTATATAACATTTGTAATCGACTTGTCGGCAATTAATGCGATTTTGAATTTAATTCGAATTATCGATTTCATATTGCTTCTATATTTGCTGTCGGGACAGCAGCTGGAGGATTAACGCGTGAACGGCCCCGCCGATGGAGTTTGCCGGACGCCGCCGCCGCCGTGTACATCGGTATCGATCAAAAAGAACCCTCGTGCAACTTTGATGAGGCTCTCCCGCGCGCACAGAGCGCGTCGTGCGCGCGCGGCCGTGTGCAACGTGGCCGGTGCATCCCGTGGCGAACTGTCGAGCGTGAAACGGCGCGCTCGTCTCGTGTCGGCACACGGAGATGTAATTGACTGTAAATGGAGCGGCGAGATATAAAGTGCCCCATTGTCTCTCTCTCACCGAGAGAGCACGGCGGCGCCGAAGAAATTTCGAATACGTCGCTCTCGTACGCGTTATTAATGCATATCTCGCGTAGTAAATCGACCGATCGGAGACGTAATTAGATGTTTAAAAATAAGCGACTCCGCGAATATAGCTATCGACGCGATCCCTTGTATGTGGGTGTATGTATGCATCTGTGCTTGTCGAGGAGACAGAGTCAACGTTTTCCAGAGATGGCATCTCGATGCACTGAGAGAGAAAAAATATCTAAAAATATATAAAATATGTAAAGTATAATAAGAAATATTATTCTTCATTATATTCTTCATTATATTCGATGGGTATTAATAATCTATTTTACTTGTCCTAATATGCATATCTTTTTTACATTGAGAAGAAATTTCTCTCATATGAGAGAACATGTATTTTCCTCAAACGGCTGTTTTTAAGTAATTGTTAAAAGTAATTGTTTATTCTATTTAAACAAAGAACTTTAGAGAGATTTAAATGAATATGTACTTACCGAATGTAAATATCGTTTATTTTTCAAATATTTTTTTCTCTCAGTGTGGTTATTATTCTCAGTGGATTGTCGAAAAATTTAAGTCTTCCAAATTGTAAGTAGGTTGATCGAATACTATTTATTCAACAATATCAATTACTTTTTTCAAAAGGAAAAATATCAATATATAGGCTGAATATATTTGTCCAGAATAAATATATTCATCTGATTAGTATTTTTCCTCTTGAAAAAAGTAGTTGATATTGTTTCCAATAAATAGTATTCGATAGAATCAATAAAATAATAAATATATTCATTAATGTACACGTAGTATATTTTCTTTCCTGTCAAGGAAAGAAAAGACGCGCGCTCATATAAAATTTTAAATAGCAGTCTGTGCCACGTTCGAACGAGAGAATTACGTCGAGGACGTTCGCAACGTTGCTAAGTTTTCATGTGACGTATCGCCCGACTAAGTAGAGAGGATAACAAGTGTGTGTCGTAACACTAGTTGACGATATAGTAAACTACACATTAGCTGACAATGTTCGGTGGCGGTATGTACAAGGCAGATCGAAAGAATTGCGACGCCGTTGTCCGTTTGAAGAAAAAGAAAAACCGAGAAGAAGGAAAGGAATAAAACGCAGGAGAACGTTCCGAGCGAACTTGCGCTTTCCCAGAGGATCCCCGCGCGCTTCCGCCAGATTTGAAGACGCCTGTAGAGTCCGCAGCCTACTTGCATAGCATTGGCCAGAATAACCGATATTATCGCGCAACGTTTAATTACGATGCGGTAATAACTCGCCGAGCGGACTTTTGCTACCGGCGAAATTCTCGCTCGCGCCGCATCGAGCGTCGGTCTTTCGCGATATTGTCCGCTGATTTCCGTTGCGCAACGTCGGCACGCTGATGTGCAGGGAACCTCGCTTTTGTTTTATTCAATAACAACAGTCACGTTTAGATCGAAGCTATCGATCGAATGTCGAGGCTTACGCACTGAGAGAAGAAATATCTAAGAGATAAACAATATTTTTATTCCTTGGGTAACGATAATATATTTGTTTACGCTAACATAAAATATTTTTCAAATGAGATAATGTACATTTTCCTCAAACCTCAAGAGGACCTTAGCTTCTCACGCGAAAGGCGATTGTTTATTCTAATTAAATAAAAGAATTTAGATTTAAAGAAATATGTTATTAAAACAGCACATCTATAAATATAGATTTACTATTTTTCGGATATTTTCTTTCTCTCAGTGCGGTAAGGTAACGCCGAATTCAAATAGCAATATGTTATCTGGATAGTCCGGAGCGAACTTCCTTTTTTATTTGACCGCAATATCGATCAATATTGGAACGTAATATCGATCTGTCCATACACTCGATATCGCGAAGTCAGAAAGCACATTTTCCCACACGGAAAAAAATTCGTCCAATCGTATTCCCTTTTCCCAGGAGAAGATTACTCTTCCAAATGCGTTATCAGATAATTCTTCACCGGCGTCTCCGGGGCCGGCTACCTGCGCGTCGCGTCCCGACGTTTCGCCTCGTGACATCGCCCATATTGCAGCGCTGTAACAGTTTCTCTTGTTTTTTTTTCTTTTACCACGACGACAGTGATACACAACGGGGAAGTGATTTAGGGACTGTGTGCCGAGGACAGACGTGGAAGGGAGAAAAAGAGCTCCGGCCGGTGCGGTGAAATGCACGGCGATTTAACTCGGCACGTGGAACGATCTGTAGTCCGGTCGGCAGTGCTCCTCGTCGTGGTGCGGCGTTGTTGATTGTACCGCGCCCCATTGTACAAGTTGCAACGTTCCGTGACACAATACGATAAGTATCTTGGACGCCGGGACGGCGGGAGCGGCAACCCAAGATGATTCTCCGCCGAAAGTCGGTGCATAGCTGCAATTGTCCCTGCCATCAGCACTGCTCCACCAAATGCACAGGTTTGAGTCGCATCGTATCGCTATGTATGCCGTACAATCTTCGCCGGCATTGGACGGCATTGTCGCCGCGCAGAAAAGCCGACCGCGCGATTCCGCGCGGTAAATAAACCGCCGTGTCGCATCCCACTGAACTTATATCGTCGCTCTTTGTCTCGATTGCATTGTGCGCGCGCCAGCGCGGCGATTTTCCCGCATTTTCCGTCGCTCGTGCCGCCTCACACGTTCCCACGTCGTGAGGCACTTCACGAATGGAGAGGAAGCCCTATATATTCGATCGTTACTAAAGTCACGAGCGGATATTCTTCTTTCTTTTTTTTTTCACGTGGAAAGCCTCTCGAGATTCCTCCTCTCGAGATTCGCGCGGCTCCAAAGATAGCTTTTTAGGTGCGATCCGTTACAGATGCTTTGAAGCGCCGTGTGGACCAATCGTGGCTTTTCTCTAAGCGCTCCAAAGCGTTCGCAGTGTCTTAAGGACCGTCTACAATGGGAGTAAAGCATGACTGTAAGAAGTAAGAGCAAGAAATTGATCAATCGCAGTCGATTATTTTTCTCACATTCGACCGTGATTGACGCTAATTTCTTACTCTTATTTCTTACAACCTACTCTCATTGTAGTCGGACTTTAAGGCTCCTGGCCTCTCGCATTGTCTATCTCTTTTTAATGACATCAGAAGCGAGAAAATGCATGCTAAAAATTTTTGCAAAATACGTTAAAATAAAAATATATATTCAAAATACTACTTGCAATCGATTAAATAAATTTGTAAAATATTTCGTTCATTCCCCTTTTGTTCTAATAATCAATAATTTATTATAAATTAACCTGAATAGGTGAAGAGATAGGTTAAGAAGATGAATTATATGTCACGTTAACTTACAACAAATTATTGTTTGTAGGGCAAAATGCACGAAATATTTTACATAAAAATAAATTTGGCATAAACTTTTTTATTTGTTTAATTGATTACAAGTGTTACTTTATATTTTTTTATTTTAACAAATTTTGCAAGAATTTTTAGCATGTATTTTCTCGCTTTTAAAAATTAAAAAAAGATAAACAATGCGAGGTGCCAAGAGCCTTAATAGATCGCACTCTTCGTCTGCGTTTGGGAAAAAAGAAGTGCCGCACGCGTTTGAAAGTGCGAACGCCCGCGGACTTTTCATTTGCAGCGGCATGCAGATGCCTTTCCATCATGACGCAAAATCGACGCGCGAGAAAGAATCGCTCCTGTGACGCGACGCAATCAACGATATGCGATATCGCAAACGTCATTCATCGTCCGCGGATCCTCACGGCCGTAAGCGGATAAGAGGATTCACGATAAAAGCCGCAGATTCGACGGCCGAGGTCTGATCGAGAGACCGCGACGACAAAATACGCGGATCAGTTACATCGCGAGATGGGCGCAACACCTGCGCGAATTACCTGCAACTCGACCGCGCGGTATCGTGCGCAAAAGTAACTCAAGCCATCAAACGCGAATATCTCGAATAGATTAACTCCATACCGTGGACTTTTATATCGTTCACTCACCCTATGGATGTGCAACTTTTCTATCTTTATTTTGCATTCCCTTTTATTTCTCTTTTATTCTATGAGCCAGCCACTTTTCATTTTTGTACTGCGCTCCACTGGAAGGAAAAATATCTGGAAAATATTAAGTATTTATACGCGATGTGGGTGCTCTAACATATTTACTTGAATTTAAATTCATTTGTTTATATACACGGTAGAAAGCATTTTATATTTTTGCTCAACTATTCTACTGTTGACTTTATATTCACAATTTTAAAGTGTTAAAATGATACAATGATGTCCAAATGTTGTATGCTTGTGTTAATTTCCAACATGTTATTTGTGTTATTAACATGTTATTTGTTCACATATTTGCCTTGCGTTAAATCAACACAAAAATTGGGATAAATAAATTGGAACATGTAAAATATGTTAAAATTGACATAAACTTTTTTACAGTCTATGCAATAAACAATTGCTTTCGTGAAAGCTAAGCTTTCAAGAAAACCTATATTTCCTTATTTGAAAAATATTTTAGATTAGCATAAGTAATATGTGTCTCTTACTAATACCCACTGAAAAGAATATTTTTAAACATTTTTTAGACATTTTTTCTCTCAGTGTATCCGTTTTTAACGTCGCGCTGAAATCCTCGAATACTTTGCGGCTGCCTCTTTTTTCGACTTTCTATGTCTGGAAAGCTTAATTATAATTGACAGCTTAATTATAGTTGAGCTTCGGCTGGATATTTTTCTCGAAACGAACATCAAGTTGCAAACGGCGTTCGATGCCGAATTACATAGTTTGTCCAAAGTGGACTCGAGCGTCGTCCACGTCGAGCTGCTCTCTTCGCGTGTGGTGCGTGTTATTTGGAGCGTGCTCACTGTCGTGTGCATTGTGCATGCATATGTAGTCTCTAGACTGCCTCCCCTCGCACGATTGCGCTCCTTGCGCGCCGACAGGGGGGTCACCAGGGCTGTATCTGCACCCTCCCATCAATCAATAATCCGCGTTCTCGCTTCCGCCTCCGCCGGGAACACCGGAGAAGAATCAGGAAGTTTTTTTTTCGATATCGTTAAAATTCTTTCTCTTTTTCATCTAATATCCGCGAGCAAATTAATCACGCTTCGTGTATGATGTGCATTATATTAGTAATTCACGTAGAACGACGGAGAACTCTTAAACTTTTTTGATTAGCAAGTTTTATCGACTTTGTTACGTTGCATTTTAGAATCTTCCGTAATTTCCCGTGTCTGGAAAACTTAATTGTAATTAATAATTAAGCGTTCCGATCTCATATTTATCGTGCATATAAATATAAAAAATCAAGTTTTATTTATTATTATTATCGTTCTTGTATTGGATTTTTCTTACTGATAACATGAGAAATTTAATTAACAATTGTATCATTGAATATTAGATTGTTCACTTTAATATGAATAGATAAAATTCGAGATTTTCCTGCATATTTCGTTTGTAGGATAAATTCGTTGCGATTTGCTTGCTTCTCCCAGAATTTCAGTCAAGTTATCTTTAAAATCTTGATAAAACGCGCGAGATATTTAAAACCTTCGTTCGAAAAAGTAATCGTGTCTGTCTGTCAAACTGTCTGTCTGGAGAACATACGTACTACGAGCAAATTATTTTTACCGAATAATGTGACTGACGTGATTAAATATGCCTGTCTGAGGAGAACTATTTCAAATCCGTCCGTGACAATTTTTGCTGCGCGCTCTCGCAATGGTGCACTTCTCTCGCGCACGGCCCTGGATGAGTGCTGTCCCCTCTACCTAACAACACGAACTATCGCTCGCCATATCGTCGGGAGTGTTGGCTGATGAATACAGTGTGATTTATCGTGAATAGCACGAAATCGAGCTTGCTAAGGTGCAGTTTCGTGGACCGGACGCCTATCGAACGAGAGTCCAACTCGCCCGAGACGTGGTATTCATTGTACACGATCAAACAACGGTAAGTGTAGCCGACGACGTCGCACGCTTTAGAGACGAAAGTTGGAGACCGAAGGGCGCGATCAGCGATTCTCGACCTTAGCTTTCTGTACCTTTAGTTACACTTTCTGTACTCTCTCGCGATTTTCTCTCTCTCTCTCCTCTCGTGCTTCCTCCTCCTTTCTTTCTTTCTCTTTTCTTCTGAGCCTATCTCTTTCTTCGAAACCGAAGTATATATTTCTTTTATCTCTCTAATGTGCAAAAGATGAAACTAAAAAAAACATTGGAGAAATCTATTCTCTCCTCAGCTAGAAACACTTTGCACGCGTTGTCGCGATTCTTCGTTTGTCTTTGTGTAAAATTTGAATATATCTTTCGTTTCATTCCAAGTGCAGACTTGCACTTTGTTACACTCCAGATATGTAGAATAAAATAGAAAATTAGTATATATTCGAACTTTAAGAGAAAAAAAATTAAGCAGTGTAAAAAGTGTTACTAAGGTGATTCAACTTAGTACAATAAACTTTAGTTTTTTTAACTTTTTTTATTCTTTTCTAGAAAAATATTTATTTTTGTCAGAAATATATATATTTCATAAAGTAAAATTCGCATGATATATGCGAATTTTATTAATTTGCTATTATTAATTTGTTGTTATAACACTTGCCTAATTTATATAGCTGAATTTTAAATATATTTTTGTATAGATTATTGTATTATTCTAATTTCATATTATGATTTTTTAAATATCAATCTTACTTTTACAAATTTCTATTACAAAGTTTAGTGTAAGTTTTATTGGACATAATTTATTAAAATGCATCTCTTTATGACAGATTGATAATATGGAAGTTATATTGCAAGAAGATGGAACGACAGAACAAATAGAATGCATTACAATACAAAGTGTAGCTGCTGATAAAAATAGACCAGCGAAGGAGTCAGAAGAGACAAGCGTAGATACTAAGGTAAGTGTATTTTATATACTTGTAGTTGCACAGGCAAAAAAGAACTAAGTATTATGATATACTATTTCACATTTATTTCAGTGTGTAATATTCTTTTTATATAAATTAAAATATAGAATGTTTTTATATAATACATCATATATATAATTTTTGTGCTTAAAGTACGTACAAATATATTATAAAGTAGATACAAGTATATTATATTTAGTTCCATTATTTTGTATATGTTAATTTCAATGTCAAACTCTGAGCATTCTGACAATGCAATCTTTGTTGTAGGTGAAACAAAAGATATGCAAAGAGGACTTGTCCACTACCACCAAGTCGAAGAAGTCCGACACTAAAATGAAAGTTAAGAAGACTCGCAGTGTACGTCAGCCGAGTTACGATTCCACCAGTCTAGAGGACAGTCCGGTCCAGGTGATGGAGCGTTTCAAGAGAGGTTGCGAGTGTATCGACGACCAATGCTTTAAGGATCTGAATCCCGAGGTGGTTTATCGGCACAGATTGAACATTGCAGAACTGACCAAAGCCGAGCACGACATGTATTTAATGGGTGTCACGATGGCGTGTTTGACAGACCCTTATCAGACTGCCCGGCACACGGAGCGACGTAGGTTACGTGCCCAGTACGTTTACCAGGGTCGCCGAGTGTGCCTGGACGCGTTTCTGTACCTGGAAAACTGCACGCATTATCAGATCAAGCGCATTAGGAAACACTTAATGACACACGGTGTGACGCCGCGTGTGCATGGCAATTACGGCAAAGTTCCGCACAATACGTTTTCGTTGGACATATACAAGATCGCCACGGAGTTCTTGAAGAGCTTTATCGAGGGGCAAGAGGCCAAGCAGAAAACCAAGCTGTCGAAGAACGCGCCGTTACATCTGCCGTCGGACATCACCCGAAAAACCGTACACGACCTGTACACGCAGTACTGTAAAATAGTATCGCCCGATGTGAAGAGTATGGGATACTCGACATTCCGGCGATTTATGAAGGTGCAGTTCCCGCAGGTGAAGTTTGCCAAGTTAGAATTTGTGGTGAGAAACCAGACTGCACAGAGTCACTCGCAGACGGAATCCGAGACGACGACGACGACGACGACGTCAACGTCGGCGCAAAATGACGATCAACAGCAATCGCCTAAGGCGGATTTAATTACTTCGGAAAGTAGTGGCGCGATATTGCCGTTAGTATTAACCAACGACGGGCAAAACGACACATATTTCTTGACACCTATTAGAAAGTTACGAGACGGTGTTAGTTATCAAGTCACCACGGGTGGATTAGTGCTCAACAGAACTATTGCAGTGTCGAAAACGAACACTGTGTAAGTCCGAAAGGGCTGCACATGAAGATAATTTCATACGATAACACTTGTATGCATGTGAATGTGATATATGTTTATGTTAAGATTTTAATTTGTAGTGGCGATACCTATTCTGAGCCTAAACCAAGATATTAATTTGAAAAAACAAGCAACTCACATTAAGACTCTTGAGTGAAGAACTGAATTTAAAATTGAACGAATATCTTATAAATGTATAAGAAAAACAAGTAGTACGAAATTATCATAGGATCTTATACAAGTTACATGCTCTACACCTTTATTACGTCGTCCTTGTGGATGTAGGTCTTTTGTTGTTTTATTCAATTGAATAAGTATTGTAAGTTATCTTGTTTTAAAAGTGTTTGTAGTTTATATATAATATATTATGACAATTATATATGAATAAAAAAGAGCACTTAGCCAAATAATCGTAGATCTTCATATCATAATATGACAATTGGTAATTACAGATGAAAAGAAACTTTATTAAAAAAAAAAAATATTTCAGACATTCAACTATTCTTATCATTTCATGTTCTTATATTCTTTTCTTATAATTTATAAAAACAATGAAAACACAAGTAAGAAGATAATTTATGTTAAAATATAATATTTAATAAATATAATATTTAATAAATGTAGACAACCAAGGTGTTTTCGCAATGCATATTATTAAATATGTAATTATTTTTTACTAAGATAAATTTCTTACAGAAATGTACATCTAAGAAAAAAGAGGGAAGAAAAATGGTTTTTTTATTTTCTTTTTAAGATAAAATATAAATATACTTTTTTTAGGAATTAAAAAACTGTTGCCATTTTAGTGCAAAAGATTCGATGGCCTAGTATGCCAAAAGCAAAGAATCCCGATATTACTTATCTCCTTTAAATTCCTGACATGGAAATCAAGTAACCACAGTAGCAGCAGTGCTTCTCAATTTATATAAACGCGAACGGTTCGTACGTGCTATTCGTACTTCTGACTCTACAAATATCATATATAATTTACATATCTTATTCATAACAGACATTTTTGTTAAAAATATTGTGTTTTTAATTATTCTCTATATAAAAATTAAACTAGATCAAACTAGGTACGTTAGGTAGTATAAAGTACAGCATTATTTATTGAAAGGCAGAATTACAGATAACTTTATATATTATATAAATTTTATAACTGTATAAAGTGTTTAGAAATAACTTATTGTGGTAAATGGTTTCTGATTGATATTTTTCTTTTCTAATAATGTTTATATCAAATTTTTGCTTCTAATGCGATAGCGCGGAAGTATTCGTTGACTGTTGTAAGTTGGGAAGCTGTCAGACTTAAAATTACCATTCTGGTCTTTTGAGATTCGTGTTATAATTAAGATTATACTCTCCCGTTTGAGAGCCTCTTGGTTTACAGTTATATCAGCAATATTGTGGGTACAGCAGGGAACTGTTTCAGCCTGGTGGCATCAGCAAGGTCATGTGAGTGCAACCTCTGATCAGGTACTCACATTCAGTATACCAGTGAGATCTGAGCCGTGCATTCACAGTAAACATTGCATAAGAGATTGTCAACGGAAATCGTTAAATCACTAAGCGTAATAAGATAATATCGCGATACCTAGTCAAGTGTATTTTGTTTTAAATATAGTACAGAGGGTGGTGTTTTAATACTAAGAGGAAAATCAGATACGCGGTAAATTGAAATTGAAACATTATGAAAATGTGTTGTATATACAATGTGCAAAAAATTTTTATTTTAATCATGTGTTTGTATCCAAATGCGAAATTGTATATTTGTTATAAATATTTAAATATATAAAAATCATAGAATTAATATCAGCTTTCAATTAATTTTAATTTTTGTGAATATGTTTAATTAAAATTCTAAGCCAAACTATACCTTATATTAATATTTTATTAGTTTTTTTAGTTCTATGATTATTATCGCAATCGAAATATATTTTAGAAATCTGTGTAACAATGAAGAACAATATTTGATTGCAGAAGATGTAGAGAGTATGACAGGCGAGATAGAAAATGGAGATTTAGCAGTTCGAGACGTCGCAGATCTTCTCCAAGCGCAATACGCTATTATCGCTGGTAAATCATTATAAGATGCACTCAGTTATATCGATTTTTAATAAAATAAATATTTTTAAACGCTTCCTCTTATTAAAAAAAAAAAAATGTTCCTTTAGGAGGGAAAACTCGAGAGGGATGTCCTATAATCACGTTTCCGGATAATGGCAATTTTCATAACGTGACTGATTTGGATTATCAGCGTCTTATGCTCTATCTTACCTCTGTACCGACGTAAGAACATATTTTATATCATTACGTGCTATCACTAATTACACTTTTGCTTAACTAATTTTATTGATGTCCAGGTTGCAAGAAGCTGATCTCGGATTTCATTTGATAATTGACCGAAGGAACGACAAGTGGAACTCGGTAAAAACAGTTCTTTTAAAAATATCTGTAAGTACACCGAATATATTGTAACTATCACTGTTATTATGAATTATTCAACCGTTGAAAATAGTTCTCACCATGAATTCTGTTTTTTTGTTTTTTTCAGGCATTCTTCCCCGGTCTAGTGCATGTCGCGTACGTGCTGCGACCCGCCGGATTCTTACAAAAAGCCATCTCGGAGGTGTCAAATAAATTATTCAGAGAGGACTTCAAATTCCGAGTTATTTTCCTGGCTAACGTCGCCGAGCTTCACGATTTCATCGAGAAGGATCAGCTCACCGAGCCACTAGGCGGCGATCTACCATACTGCCACCATACTTGGATACAGAACAGAATCGTAAGTGCAGTAGATATGAATTTAACGATATTTAACGTTCATTTTCATAATCTTTCTTAACGAATCTGTGTTATTTGTGCAGAGTCTGGAAAAATTCTCATCAATGACGCAGGACGTGTCTCTCGCGCTGGATTCCTTCACGCGACGTCTCGCTGAAGTGGAATTCCCGAACAACACCATCGCCACAACAACGTTGCTGTCGCAGCAGCAGGCTGAGTATAACGAATTAAAGGAGGAGATACTCAGCGCTGCCAGGCACGGCGAAGCTCTCCTGGATAGCGTGCGGCAATTAACCGGGAAAGGAACGGCTGATAGATTGGGCAATGTTGCCGCAGTAGAAAGGTAACGTGACACATAATAACTTCTGACAAATTTGGTGACAACATAATTACTTATTTTATATCTTTGTCTTTTTGGAAATGATTAACGTTTATTATTAAGCAATATATGTTTAGAGTAGCGACATATATTATATGTTGGTTAGTACTATTGTTACATATAATTTTTTAACATAGTTTCTCTTCAATTTTAGACTACTCGTCCAGCTGGAGGAAACCGAGCGAACCTTCGACTTATTCTGGTCGCACCACAGTTCACGACTGCGACACTGTTTGGCTCTGAGGCAATTCGAGCAAGATTTTCGAGAATTGCAAGCGACGTTGGATCAGCACTTGAAGACGGCGGAAGAGATGACGGAGGTCGGCGAAACGCAAGCAAGAGTGGAGCAATTGCTATGTGATACCTCAGCATTCCAACGAATATGCAGAGTACGTAACTCTTAGTGGTATTTTTAATCAGAGAACACAACCGATTACCATTACACGTCGTCAGATTAATGCGTTTGATTATTTTTCTGACAAAATATTTTCTAGTTTATTTCCACAAATGGGCGTACAAGATAAAATCGCGAAGATAAAAATTATGTTTTCCATGCCTAAAAAATCAGTTCGTGTCATTTTAGTGTAAAATTATAGACCCACATTATCACAATACAAATAATACAAAGATAATATAATCACACGATAAATCGGTGGAAGCGATTTCACATTGTTAACCTCGAATCTGAGAATGTATACGTCGCACTCAAAGCACCACGATGCACCACTCAAACCAGTATACTTTTATTTATCATGAAACTCTATCGAATGTCTTGTCACGATATAAATTCTGTGGTAAAATGGCATGGACATGCTGCAGTACAATTGAAACGTGTCAGTGTGTTCATATATACATGCCGTTTTAACATGCAAGTCCTGGTTTGAACGTGATCATGTGAGCAGTAACATATATAACGCACATCATGCACAAATGTTACTTTGCACCGCTTTCCTCATTTTGTCGATAGTCCTATTTGTTGCATACCATGTGGATTTGGGTCTTGGTAAGCACAGTCCACTTAACAAGATACATGTATTCTATCATAGAATTTACATTTTCTAAGACACAATTGATCAATATCTCTTAGCATCTCACATATCTCTCAGTCTTATCATACTTTGAAGCGAAATTAGAAGACGTTGCGTTTCAAGAAGTTCTTTTGTAGGCGCTATGAATTAAATCTCTTTTATGCGTTACGTATAACCCAACGTCTGATTTCTTTTTATATTTAATATAAGATATATATATATATATTTTTCTTTTTTTATATTTGAAATGCTGCACGCGCATATGAGTGTCATCGTATTTTGTTGAAACCGGTGAACGTACCGGTGGAGATTTGATTCATGTCCGATAATGGCATGGTAAACTTTTTTGCGAATGACCATCATTATATATATATATGATTTCTCGCTCTGCATTGCACGCACAATAGTGTATTTATTTTCGCGGGCAGAGGCAGTCTTTAGACGTTCCTTAGACGATTCTTAACGAGGCTATAAGAAAAATGCCATGATTGTTCGTAGCATCTTCATTTCTCTATATAGCATCAACTTAAATCTGTATTGTGCATAAGTATAATTGCATATGTTTATAGGGAGATATAGACCGCGCAGAAGAGGTGATATCTGCCGGTCAACAGCTGTTGTCCGGAAGACATCAGTGCCCGGCAGACGTTGTAGAGCCCAAGTGTGTAGAGTTGCAGAGAGTTTGCACGATTCTCAGTCAAAGACTAGAAAGACGATTGCACATGCTGACCAAGTGCAGAGAGCTCATGGAGCGTATAGACAAGGTACGTTCGTTTCACGTTTGCGAAAAGTTTCGCCTTCCATTCTCGGGAGTCACGTTTGCGCGTGTCAAGTGAAAATCTAATCCCTTTGTCATCGATCGGCAGGCCAACACTTGGTGCACGCGAGGGATAGAATTACTTGCGTCGCAGAACAGCACCACTCCGCCGGATCAGGCGCTTCAAGAGCTGCAGCAGTTGATCGAAGCCGCGGAGGAGTTCCATCATCCACGATGCATTTTTCAGGACTCCGTGATGCCGGAAACCAAGGCGCTTATTACACAGGTGTATATTCCACAGGGAGTCTTCCGTTTCATAAACGTGAGTTCCGTTTTGAGTGAGGCTGACGACATTTATCTTGCAGGTTCTGCAAAGGATAGAGGACGTCTCTTTGATGTGCGACAAGAGAATCATGGCACTAAAACAGCAGTTAATTAAACCAGCCAGGCCAGTGCAAACTGTCACGCCAGAACCAGTCAAACCCTTGCAATCACTGCCTCAATCCGCGAAACCTGGCAGAGTTCTCAAGAAAGCTAACACCATGCCAAAGGTAATCTTGTGCTTACAATCATAATTATATTTCAAGTCCAGTTTTGCTGTCGAGAAAGATTTGGTAAAATATATATTACATTATATATACAGAGATTTTTATTCATAAAATATAATTTTATTTTAGATGGAGATGAGTCCTATAGAGGGAGAATCCTCCTCGCCAGAGAGTGAACCTCGGGACGTGGAAGCCTTACGCTTAAAGCGTGGCCACGTTCTGGCGGAGCTGGTAGAGACCGAGCGAATCTATGTTTCCGAGCTTGGCTCGATAATTAAGGGTTATAAGATGGAGATGACGAACGAGGCGATGGTCCATTTGATACCCGCGGCGCTGGTCGGCAAGGCGGATGTTTTGTTTGGCAATTTAGAAGATATTTATATTTTTCACGGGGAGACCTTTCTGAGGGACTTGGAGAACTGCATCTCGAACACTGAGCTCGTCGCCCTGTGCTTTGTTCAAAGGGTGAGCGCGCGCACGGTGTCACATAATATCGAATGCTATGCCGTATCTAGAGCCGCAAACTAATTTTACGTATATACGTTTGTAGCGCGAGATGTTCTTTAGATTGTACAGTTATTATTGTCAAAATATTCCGCGCTCGGAGCGGTTGCGTGAGCAAATACAAGGCGAGCCGCAGTTTCTCGCAGCCTGCCAGCAAAGACTCGGCCACAAGCTACCACTCGCTGCCTATCTTCTCAAGCCTGTGCAGCGTATCACCAAGTACCAGTTGTTGTTGAAGGATCTGTTAAAGTATAGCGACGAGCCGTCGTGCTGCACCGAGTTGCAAGAAGCGTTGGATTGCATGCTGGTCGTGTTGAAATGCGTTAATGACAGTATGCATCAAACTGCGATAACAGGTTTCGGAGTAAGTGTCCTCCTTAATTTAGTACATTTGTGGATTGTTATATTTTATCGCTTATTACATCGTATAATTTGCTTGCAGGGAGACCTGGGCGCACAGGGTGAATTGTTGTTACAAGGCTCGTTTAGCGTTTGGAGCAGCAGTAAGCGGGAGCGACTGCTGCGACTGAAACCGTCTCAGCGACATATTTTCTTATACGAGAAAGCTTTGATATTTTGTAAGCACAGCAAGCCTCAAGCTCACAACAAAGCCACGTATCATTTTAAAAGATATTTAAAGGTACTCCGATGTTTATTGTATCTTTCTCTTAGATAGTAACTTCTTATCCAAGAAAATAATCCTTCTAATCTTGTTCGTTTAATATTTTTGCAGATGTCGCAGATTGGTCTGACAGAATCGGTGAAGGGTGACGCCAGACGATTCGAGATATGGTTACAAGGTAGAGCTGAAGTGCACACGATACAGGCACCTAGTATTGACGTCAAGCAGTCGTGGGTGCGCCAGATCAAAGGTGTATTGATGTCCCAGCTGGCAGAACTTAAAGGGAAGCAGAATTCCGCTCTTGGGAAGTCCAATCATAAGTGCGTAACTGAAGAGTACGATAATCATGTGTTTTATTTTTTTGTTATATTTTAATTTTGTCTTTCTTGCTCCTCTGCTAAGACCGCTGCGACAGACGATCTCGTGGGAGGCTCAGAGCAGCATATCGGGCTCTTTGCGGACGCTGTCTGTTGATGGCAATAGCGTTATATCGCACATACCCGACGTGTCGCAGTCTACGGAAGACGACGCAGCCTGGAGTTCGGAGAACAGCAACACGGACGAGGAGGACGCGTTTGCCGACAATCCGGGACCCGCACCCGTCAGTTTTTACATATTAACATAATAAAAAATATATTGTTATAATTATGACATTATCGAATATATAATAATAATATAATAATTATATTATAATATTTAATAAATTATAATAATTTCATGTCGTTTATCCTTGGCACTTGAATTTTTTATAATACACGCGATTTTTCATATTAGTAAATATACTAATAATTAGTTATAAGTTAATATAATAATTACTAATAATATAATAAGTACTAATAATTATTTTGCGATTACAGGGCGGGAGATATGTGGCACTGGCGGATTATTGCGCAGTGGGACAGTCTGAGGTGACGATGCGCGAGGGTGACACGTTGGAGCTTCTCAAGGTAGGCTGTGCTGGCTGGTGGTTCGTGAAATTGGTCGGCACCGGCTTGGAAGGTTGGGCGCCAGCAGCCTACCTGGAACCGATCAGTCGCAAGACGTCCCGCAGCTCGCAGTCGGTGAACAGTCAGGAGACCATATGAAACAGGCGACTAACACACTAGAGATCTCGCTAGTGTGTTAGGTCTTTGATACACATCGTGCCGTGAAAATCGCGGAAGTTGTTGACACGTGCGCCGCCGGAATTCACTGAGGATTATCCGATGAGCGGCTGCAGAATGTCGATAATGGCAGTTTTTGGAAATCTTTTACAGCATTCGCACGACGTTGAGTTGTGTCATCTTGTGTATCTTTATTGTACAACACGACGTATACACATATGCAATGTCTAAGCGATGCTTTTACATTTTGCGACGCGAACGTTGAGTTCGACGGGCCAATGTTTTTACGTTTGTGCGAATTTTATATCGATGTGTGCGTGATGTAGGAAGGCAGAGCGGAGGGAGAAAAACTTGATGTTTCACGATCTCGCGTTACGGACAATCGACGCGAGCGATCGCGCTTCGTTCGCGTCGCGTCAGCTTGAATAGGTTCGTTCTCGCGAACGCGGAAACGGCATTTACTGAATTGTACAAAATACATAGCGTTGAATAAAGCATTGAGGTACACGCACACGCTACGGAGACTTGTGTCTCGATCACTACTCTGCTACAGATAATATACAAATTTCTACACAATATAGCGCACGCTATATTCGAGAAGGGGAGGGATAAGAGTTACACACGACCGACTGATGTGTCAGGCGTATCGTCCCCGTTCGGTTATACTCGCAGTTCGTTTAGTGTCTGTGAGAAGAAGTCGCGCGTGTCATAGTCTGTAAATGGTAATTTTTACTTGCGACCTGGGTAATCAAATATCGGCTGTACGCGAATATTCCAAAGTTAATGTCGTTAGGAGACGCGCGACACTTTCGTCCATTGCATTCTATCCACGACACGCGTAACTTGGTTTGGCGCGAAGAGAACTACATCCTCTTTGCCAGAGGCACGCGATCTTACTCCTCGCGCGGTGTGTTTTCGCGGTGTCATCAGTAAGTAGGCGCGATCGTCGACTGCATCAGTTGCGTATTGTCATCATACGTTGACTTAGAGGTAGCGTTAGATGCGTCGCGGTCAATCAAATAGTACAATTTAGCGCAGTCGCGGGCTTTCAAGAGCGTCGTTAAATGTTTCGTTCGAGAGTCGAGGTTGCTTCGTTGGGGTTGAACTTAAAGTATTCGTGAACACTATCGGGGACACAGATGTTCGAGCCTTCAAAGAAGGGAAATGTGTATGTGATACAACGTTAGACCGACGCTTCTACGGATTGATTGCCGTTAGCAATACAGAAAAAGAGGGAAAGAGAGAAAGAAAATGTTTAATTAATATATTCGCCATTCTTAGGACGTTAGATACATTGTTGACGAGTCATTGCGACCAAATAAGTTCAGTATAATCGATGCGAGTCTGACGATATACGAACCGTTCGTTCCAGAGGAATGACGCGGTGGACGGAAGAGAGGGGAGGAGGGAGACGAGAGGTCGGAGAATCATATACGAGACGCGTGTACACAAATTTTCTAGAAGCTAAACGGTTAACACCAAATAACATGCAATATCCGACTACCGACTACGATAAATTTTAAACATTTAATACCTTAGGACTATATGATAAGCAATCTCAGTTCTAGCGGATTTCATAACCCACCAATTTCATAAATCTCCAATAACGATATAACATGTATAATAGTATCGTTTGTACTGAAGCGTTTGTATGGATACGGATAACATAATTTAAGGGAATTTTGCAATCGCTATGATTTTCTCACCTCTGTGTATACATTGATTAGTACGTACCCTCGTAGAGAAATGTATGTGAGGATATGATTTCGTCGCGCTTTTTGTTTGTTTTATAAAGTTAGCCTACAGCCTACATGAGTCTCATTTGTCGGTATTTATAGCTCGCGTATTATTTGTACAGAAGAACACAGGGTTCCACGAGATACATCTATTTATTAGATAGACATATTTATTGAATATAGGACGTATTATTTATCGCGATGATTCCTAGCAGTTAATTTAAATCAGCCCGATTATTTACGGCGATTGACGTACTGTAAACGCGACACGATATAGTGAGGGCTATGTAATTACGCACGGTTGAAACGTTAAGACGCGCCGAGATCGCAGTACACACGAGACATGGGAATTCATCCTTTTTTAGTCGAGAAGAAAACACTACCTTTGCGTTTGTAGAGCATGCGCTTCGAATCGTTGCGTTCCTATTGCGTCGTGATTTTTAGTCAGTACTAGTATTCCTCGCTTGAAAGCTGTAAGTGTACTTTCGTGCATCCACATCCATTTGTACGCCGTCCTTATATTGTCCGTAAGATTTCAATCAAACGAGTAGTTAGTTTAAAGGAACGCATCCCTTTAGGTTGCGATATTGATATGAAACATTTTCAAGCCACGTTTTATAGAATGAACGCAAGCGGTTTAGCTTGCTCGCGGTGGATCTCGTTTGCGCGTTAGCGATCCTGTTGTAAAATATCGTTAGCCCAGAAGCGGTCAACGTTACCGTTCTCGTCATACCTTATCGTATCACAACACCTCCGCAGAACTGTGTGTATATGTGTGAGAGAGAGAAAAAGAGAGGAAGAAAGAGAGAGATCTCTTCGTCGAAGGAGGAAGCGTCCTCGCAATTTTTGTGTAAAATCGCGATCGAGTGACCAAGTCATGGTGATATCTAAACGAGAGGAAGGAAGAGAGAGAAAGAGAGAGAAAGAGAGACAAGGCGTTTTGTAGAAATTATAAATATATAGATATATATATATTATACATATACATTATATTATACATACACATAGACAATAATTATAACCGCTGTTGAAAGATACATGGCAAACGCGTTTCCGGATGACGATTCATGATAATACGGATTAAGAGACCTCGACGACCGCGAATGTACTTCCCACCGCGATTACCAGGGCAAATAGAAGCAGGTTTCTGCGAGTGAATTTCTTAACATGGATAAGACAGCTCTGCGCGCTGCAGAGTGTGGCGTAAACGCGCGCACACACACACATACACACCACACATACACACATCGGTACGCGTGTGATCTTTTCAGACAGAGAAAAAGAAACTCACATGGGGAGTCCGACGTTCAACCGTGATTTCTTTCTACGGACGGTTCCTTTCGTCGTTCCTCAGCAGAAGAGTGAATAGTAAAGTCTATTTTTGCATATGACACGTGATAACGGAGCTGCCGAAATCGCTTCTATTTGCATTGTGCGTTCACAGCGCCGATCAATTATCTCGCCGACCGAGCGACCGTAATCGGGGATCGCGGTATTAACGCGCTTCTTTTATTCTTATTTTTATCTTTTTAAATTTCTTTACGGCAATGCTTTGTTGCATCCCCGATTTTCCCCCGAGCTTTTCTCCGTTGTCGCTTGCGCGCGCGCGCGTAATTAATACATATATTAATCGTACAGAGATGGTGTATGTCGTTTCAGTCTTCATGAGAAGAAATCACACTCAGATCTCAAGAAGGAAGAGGAGAGGAATATTTTTATATAGAACGCAACACACAAGAAAATTGCTCAAACTTCAGTTAACGATGATCTTAACTTTGGATGTTTGTTACGAGTTTTGCGTTACGTTACGATTAAGTTAAGACAGCGAGCGGATCTGATAGAGAGGAGGTGATGATGCGCGATTGTGCCGGTCGCGTTTAATTGTAGATTACGCATCTTCGTCTTCGTCCTCGAGAGGGGAACGGTATCGCGATTTGTAAAATGCATCGATTGTAATGTCTAAGCGTGTACAGGAATTTTGTTAAACTCGTCCGATTCTTATGTACAATCAGTTGTCAAACTTGTACGAGCCTGCAATATTAAACGGGAACATTAAACGTGAGAATTGCTAACGGATGCCTGCGTCGTCGTGTCGTCAGTTTTCCGTGCTTCTCATCGCTGAAAAATTCCTTTCGTTAGTAAAAAATGAGCGACTTTTATTGTTATTATCTGCTCGTCTTGATATTTAAGTTGTAGTTAGCATCCAACTTTGTGGAGTGAAATAATATGTCGTATCGACCGACAAATTAATTTTAACTTTATAGCGGCAGCGTACTATTGTACCAGAATTGCTGCAGAATTAGTACAACAATATCGTGATTGTAATTATAGTAATGTAACGCTCATTGATATTACAATGTTAATTCATAATATACTATCAGAATCCATCGGGCTTGATTTTAGCTTCTCAGATTCTTGTTGCAAAAATCGTTGGCTTTTATTCTTTATTGGAGATCTTTTTAAGAAGAGAAAGATTTTTCTTCTTTTAATAGAGTAAATTAATGGCATCAGGACTAATATGAGGACTAATATATACATTGAACAATACGTGAGACATTTCCCGCGATATTTTAAATTAAATTCAGCGGCAAAACTACTTCTCGAAGTTATGTCAGGTGCCGCCAGCATCGTTCGGTCAAAGTCCGCAATTCGCCGCTACCGCTTCACGCACACGCACTCTCTCGCGCCTTCAAAAGTCGCTGTTCCAGCGGTGACTCGGTGCAAATTTTTTTTCATGGTACACGGTGTTACGCGACCTTGGTAGCTGCTGGTGTCACGACGAGGCCATAGAAAGACACAAGTGTTTCCCGTTTCGGACAATTGTGAGCAGATTTGTCGAGGATGTCGTCGCAACCGGAAGCAGTGCCGCAGGAGAAGCCCGAGAAACCATCGAGAGGAATAAATGCCGTGCTCCTGGGACCACCTGGTAGCGGCAAGGGTACTCAGGTACGTTTCTTTAATTTTTCATAGTCATTCTTGGATATTAAGTTACTATCTCAGTGAATTTATCCTAATTGTATCCTCTGATCCATATTCCCCTTCCAGGTGTGACTGATCAGATAGAGTGAAATTGATTGATTAAATAGTATTAGGTAATCATGATGAGAGACAGTTATGCAGCTTGGTAGGACTGTGTAAAGTTGAAGATACTGATAGTCATTTGAGAGAAGTTGTATGTTTGGACTTGAAAATGGAGTTAAGATGTAATTAAGGAGTTACAAGAGGACTTGACAAGTGCCCTCTTGGTATATGTTTCTTCTGTAGTACTTTTAGTCAAACAGAAGACAAATGGTTTTGTTTTATTATTATGCATGAACATAATATGGTTTAATTAAATCACAAGTTTCTAATATATAATTATCTTTGTAGAAATATTAATATTTGGTCCATTTTTACCAGTTGTCTTCTTTGACCTATAACTAATAGATGTATAATAAATGCTACCTTTAGACACTATATATATATATATATATATATATATATATATATATAAAAGAGGAACATATATATATGTATATTAATAAATCTTGGAGGTCAGCTATTGCTGCAATAGTTTGTTTCAAAGATCTACGATATATCTAAACATTCAGTATTTTCATAAATGACTCAGAGCTGTTGTCTTTTATTTTCAATATTTCTGTACATAATATTTTAAATAATTATTATTTAATAAATAGTAATTTTATTTAATCTTATTTTTGCTATCATCAAGATCTTTAGGGACTTAATCTTAATATTTATTATTTTTAAAGATTTTCCTCAAAGAATAAAAGAAAAATTTACTTATTTTTCTCTCTTTAAATTAGTCTTTTAATTAATACCATATTAATGGTATATTAGTGACTTAACAGACATGCCATCTTTATCATGAGGTTGAAAATATTCTAAATATAAGTCATGTTAACATTGAATATTCACCACAGTTGGTTTTCTCTCCAATAAGGATTAAATTAAGTTCTATTTATTTCAGGCTCCGCTGTTTAAAGACAGGTACTGCGTGTGTCACTTGTCTACAGGCGATATGCTCAGAGCTGAAATTCAATCCGGTTCATCTCTTGGTGCTGAAGTCAAGAAGATAATGGACGAGGGGAAATTGGTTCACGACGAACTGGTGGTCAGCATGATCGAGAAAAATCTGGAGAAACCAGAATGCAAGCGCGGCTTCCTGCTGGATGGCTTTCCGAGGAACGTTACTCAAGCACAGAAAGTAAGTCAAAAAGTTGACATTTGTGTATTTAGTGTATTTAGCAGTGGATTTTAAATCACTCATTCAAGTAGAATGTCTCATGAATCGCTTCTTTTTCGCACAGCTCGACGACATGCTCGGCAAGAGGAAAACAAAACTCGACACTGTGGTGGAGTTCGGAATCGACGACAATGTGTTGATCAAAAGAATCACAGGCAGGCTAATACATCCCGCCAGTGGCAGATCCTATCACGAGGAATTCGCACCGCCTAAAGTCCACATGAAGGACGATGTGAGTAACGGGGAAGTCGCGGTTAAAGACGTCGGACCGACTTCTTTGTGCGACACGAGAAGTTCAGAGAGATGAAGTTACATGAAAAACATATATTTTATAATACAAGTCATATCGATCGCGCGATATGAGGCGATTACATTCGCGAAGCGATAATGATAAAAGATAAGTCCAGCGACACGTTGATTCTCGCTTCGTTTCGCTTCGATAATGTATCTGCAACGAAGATAACGCGTAATCGTAATTAGCGATGGCTGCATGCGCAAGAGATGCCTATAGTTTCGCAACGTTATAAATTATATAAGTTTCAATCGAAGCACACGATAGGATCGACGGTCTCTATCAGCACGAAGTTATGATCTTCTATTTTTTGTTCGCAGATTACCGGCGAACCTTTGATCAAAAGGTCCGACGACAACGCGGAAGCTCTGAAGAAGCGCCTAATAACATATCACACTCAGACTCAGCCGCTGGTCGACTATTACGCCTTGCAAGGAATCCATTACTATATCAACGCCGCTCAATCCACTGACAAAGTATTCAAAGACATCGATCAGATCTTCTTGAGATCCACCAAGCAGCAGCAGAAGAAGAAGAGCTTCTTCGGTTTCTTCTAGAACACTGCCGACAGAAGTAGAGAAGTAGAGGAACAAAGAGACATAGAGAGACAGAAAGACAAAGAAAATCCTTCCAGAACATTGTTAGCGTTGCGAGAAACAGTCATGAATAGTCGTGAATGCATTGGCGCCATAAAAATAATAATGTTTCGAGCCTTTGTCGTTACTGGTGTCCGTCGAGATCAATTTCGGAGCAAATAGTAGTAACGTCGTGTTCACGCGCCACGCACGATGTATCACGCAGCAATATATCAAATACATTGTAGTAGCATTCCGTAAGAGACACTGTAATTTTATAATAGTAGAGGCGCGTGAAGTCACGGTTATGAATCGAATGCACACGATTTATTAACGCGTCAAAGATTGTAAAAAAAATATATATATATATATATATATATATATATATATATATATATATATATATGTGTGTGTGTAACGCCGAAGATTATAATGTTAATGTAAAAAGTGAAACACATTGTACATACATACATACATACGTTACACGAGATAGAAAGAGATAGCATTTTGCTTCGTCGTCACTACGAACGATTCTTCCACGCGATACTTTACAATTGCGTGTGTACGGCGCGCACAGCAAATACGGGAGAAGGTATTGATCACATATCTCGATTTAGTTTTTATTTTTACATGTTCTACAGAATTTACCGGCTTAAAATGTGCATGACTATCGCAAGAAATGAACCAGCTCGATGAGCCGTGCACGTGCACACACTTCGAATTTCGGCGTTACTATCTTTATAGACTGCGACTCGTACTCGCATCCCGCATTTAACATTATGAATATAGCAATGCGATTGTTTTTTATTTCTATAGTGAGACAAGTAGAATCGGAGATATTCTCTGATTGTCGTATATAGTAATATACTATATAGTATATAGTAATTCTATCCTATAGATAGATCTTATAACTGTGAAATTATATAAATATTAATTTATATAATTATCTTATAATTCTAGATATGATCTGCGGTTGTGTGCCGAGAATATTTTATCATCGCATTTATTGTTAAATGTGGGATTTGAATGTGGACCTACGATTATATCGCGATTATACTCGTTCGATCATGTTCCGTTAGAGAAACATTGACGAACGTGCAATCGCAACCACAACTGTACAAACATACGAAAAAGATCATCGCGTTGCCACCGTTATGCCTACGTTACTTTCGAGGACACAATTTTACGAGAGTACGAACGAAGCGCAACACAGATCAGAGTCTATTTTACATAAGAGCAGAGTAACGTAAATATATTCTGGTATAACACTATACCGTATACACGAAAAAACCTAAAATCCTAATATTTTCCGAGAGAAATGAAGTAAATCTGTATAAGAATAAATCGTTCTGTGAAATCGTTATTTGAAATTTACTTTGTATTCCAATTAATCACACTTATAATGAATCCTTTCCGTTATAATTTGTTTCCAAACAGATCATGATGTGATTTTTATTTATATTCATTAATAACTCCAGACAACATAATGGTTGCGTTCAGCAGAGAAAGCTACTTTGCAACTGTTGTAAAATTCATGAATCTGATTGGAGTATGCTCTTAATTTTGGTTAAATCCAAGAGCATGTACCAATCAGATTCACAAATAGCGGAGACTTTGGTACTAATTTATAAAAATAACGGATCCAAAGAATAAATTAGAGTCTTTGTACAATGCCAGGCTATCCGCAATAAGAATAGACATTAGCCAATAGTAACAAGGAATAGAAATAATTGACCAATCTGAATTCCTATTCCTTGTCCCTATTGCCTGTTGCCTGGCATTCTGCAAGGGCGTTTGGACTCGTTATTTCTCTAAGATATTGGTCAATATAAATGTTGTTTATAGCTATCACTATTTCCTCAATAAGGAAAGTAGCAGCTCGTAGCGGAGACTTGAGAACTAACTTACAGAGTTAGTTCCAAAGTCTCCGCTACGAGCCGCCACTTTCCTTAACGAGCAATTGAGATCGTAATAGACCCGATCTACAATAGATGGAGTAAGGAGTAGGAATAAGAATAAGAAATAAGCAATAAACAAATTGACCAATTCCACTCTCACGTTTCAAAAATAATCGATTGTGATTGGTCTGTTTACTTACTACTTATTTCTTACTTCTACTCCTATTCCTTACTCCATCTATTATAGATCGGGCCATATTCAAGGGTAAATCAGCCGTACTATCTTTGTTTAACATACAATGAGTGACAAATAGCGTGGCCCTGGGTTAATCGCTCCGAGAGCGATTAATGACGTCATAAATCTCTACTAGCCAATCATAAAGCTTATAAGTATTTGTTCGACCAATAAACGTAGGCTGAATAATCCAGAGTAGGTTAACCCAGAGTCGGTCGAACATGCTAAAAGATAGAAAGATCGCGTCGTTGCGAGTGTTAAAGGGACGTCTACATTGGAAGTAAGCAGTAAGAAGTAGGAAGTAAAAATAAGAAATTGACCAATCATAGTTGATTATTCTTCTCACATTCGACTATGGTTGGTCAATTTCTTACTCTTACTTCCTACTTACTTCCAATGTAGACGTCCCTTTAAGTGGAACGCACCCTAAGGGCTGCGTTCCAAAACTCTACTCGATGGGTAGAGTACATTTAATTATCCAATCATAATAAAGAAATCCTAGTTATCTTTGTTCTTATTGGTCAATTAAATGCTACTTTACCTGTCGAATAGAGTTTTGGAACACAGCCAAGTAGTATTATTCAACGGCGTCAAATGTCATTTTGTTCTCTGAGAACTAGTCAACGGACTGTAATTTCGACAAAAATGACACTATCGAGATGATTCAAAAAGCATTTTGCAACTTGCATTTTGAAAAGGTTTTAATTGTTAATTATATTAATACTATAATTTTGTGTTTTTTGATAAGATGTATTGAGTTAAATGTAAAGTTAAAATCGCTTCCCAATTTCATTTCTGAATTTTTAAATTGCATTTTTAGGTAGAAAAGTTACTTTCATAAGCAATTAGAAGAATGGATTTAAGAGGTAATCTTAAGCTTTTTATTCATTTCTCAATGATTTTCGAGCATCAATTCGTTCACTTTGTAATTAAAACCGGAAAGATAATTTCTACTTTATATGGATATAACTTGATGAAAAAGAATTATTCCGCATTCTTTTACGTGCAAATTAAAAGAAAAGATTCGCACTTCGAAATAGATTAAACTTAATTTGTATAACGTTTCTTATTTATGTAGTGTAGCTTGACAAACTTTATAAGAAATGTTTATATTTAGCACTTTTTTATTTATATTTCTAGATTATTATATAAAATAATTAATCATATTCAGTAATAGGGTAAAAAACTAGAATAAATTAGCATAGTATCAATTTTAATAAAAATAGTATGTTTTTATAGGTAAAACAAAGCTCCTCTGTAATTATATAACAATGGACAACAGCTGTATAGACAGTAGATGGAGAGAAATCTTATTTGCATAGCTGAGGAAACGTATAGCCTTAGCAATATATACCTCAAAATTAAGTAACATCTTTCAACAGCATTAGTTTAATTAAATAATAGTTAAACTTGTTTAAAAATTATTTTAACTTTTCATTATTAATAGGAAAATTGTAAAGATTTGAAAAATTATGATAATAATAGGTATAAAAGTACATTAGTATATAAAATTTAGTTTATCTCGTATGTTTTTGTCTTTTCAAAATTCTGTATATGATTAAGTTTTAAAAGACAATAAGAGATTAGATAATTTTGATGAAAATCAATATTCTATTATATGATACATAATAGAATAATAAATGATAAAAAGATAGAATTTGAGATTCAAAGAAATTTTATTTTTATTACGTGTTTCGATATAATCTATAATACAATATAAAATAATACTTAAAATATACAATATGTAACATATAATATAAAATGTGCATCTTGGATATTGTATAACTTTTTATTGTAATTTAGGAAAATTAAAAATACAAGGGATAATTATAGTAGACATTAATTCATGATGGAATGCTAATTTTAATCTGTATTACATCACACTGTATTGCTTTAGAAGAACTCTATCATATACAGAATTTTAAAGGCACCAATTTAAGATAATTGCAAAATGTTTTATTATTTTTAGACATCTTAGAGATATCTTTTAGAAGCTTGTGCGGCATTAATGTATGTATATCATACTTGTGGATGTGAATGAATGTGTATATACATATAGATTTGTGTATTTTGTATATTTATATTATTATATATGAGACAAATTAAAAAAAACTTTTATTTTTACATAGTATATTTAAAGGTGTGTTGTGTATTTTAAAAGATATTAAATGCAAGTAACGATAGACAAAATATATTTAAATATGTGTATATTTCTGTATATATATATATATATATATATATATATATATA